AAGAACGCCAATTGCCGATGATGTATCGACTGGTATTATAACAGCAGGTTTTTTGATGAATGATAAAAATAAGTGTCGACATAGATCGTCTGGTATATCAGAATTATCAAAGAGTACTTCAAGAAATTGCCGAAAACCTTGATAATCAAGTTGCTAATTAAAAATAAACAATAAGATGAAATATTTCAAATCAACAACAAACAAATAAAACTGTACCTCATCATATCTATGAGCTAACCAGGTGGAATCTTGTTGAAGAATGGTAACAACATCTTTTACTTTCTTGGGTGCATCTTAATAGATAAATAAAAAAGACATTTATACTCATTATAAACACATTAATAGATGATAGTTGAAAGCATAGTTTGAAAATATACATATGGACTGATATAGAATGTTGTATAAATAACTTACATGAAATATATTCTTGTAGACGTTCAAATTCGTCAGGTGAAAGTTTATTCCAATCAAATCGATTCATGGATGATCGGCGGCCAAATGCGTGTCATAGCTCGCTCGACTATCGAAAATTCGACATTTTATTTATTCAACACAGCAGGCTCTGTTGTTATTTTTATTATTGTAATAAATAAAAAATAAGATCTCTTTATTATTCAAGTCATCTGAAATAAGAAGAAGAAGAGAAAAAAATAGAAAGAAAATTTCTACTTTAATTAATATGATAACATGTAGTTGCTCATGAATACATTCGAATAGAAATTTTTGAGATCGCCTTTCGTTGCTTCTCTAGTCTTTTGTTGTGTCTAGATATGTGCAAATGCTACTATTATGCTGTTGCTCATCTCTCTTCTTGTTTCCCATTGTCTTGTAACTGCTGTGTGGCGGCGTCATCGACTAATTTGATGCTCTACATGATTTTGTATGACACATTACACGACAAGATTCTCGTTGAGAGTCACAGAGCACACAAAGACAAGAGAGAAGAAAGAAGAAGTAACAGAAGAAGAAGAAGAAGACGACGAAGAAGAAAAATAAGAAGGAAAACGAGAAGGAAAAGCCAAGAAGAAGGTAGGCAAAGAAATGAGTTTATCCCAAAGGAATAGCTTAGACACTCGTCTATCATGTCCTTCAAATGTCAAAGTTTACTTGAAAAGGCCAAACGTTGAGTATGTCTTATATTCTTTATGTATATTTCTCCATCAATCTCATGTGGAAAACATCTGCTTATGCGTTTCATGACATCAAACTATATCTGGGCGTCGTCCAATAAATGGTCGTTGTTGTTACTGCTATTTAGCAGAGATCGTAACTTATGTATGCTTTAATAATTAAATAAATATTGTGAAAAATATATGAATAACTATGTAAATCTTTAATTTGTACATGAGCTAATCAGACAACAAATGCTTCCAAATGGTGTACTTAATGATTGCCGGCGATGAGATATGTATATGTATAGATGATCATTATTCATTCCTTGATACCAAATGTGGAAATAAAAATATGTCTAGAATGATGTCAGTTTTGTCGAATATTCAATTCAACGATGAGAGTAATATAAGATAAGATAGCAAAAATTAAGTTTTTTTCTTTTTTTTATCTTCATTCTCAATGAATCGTCTTCATTTTTCCCTTCTGCGTATGTTAGTATGGGTGTTTCTCTTCATTCTCACACACAGATATATTTTTCTTCATCAGATATTTATGGCTCGAAAGGCAACGGTTTAATTAGGAAACACCCGACGCGTTAGAAAATAGAAATAGCAAGAAAATAATGGTGTGTTTGCAAAAGAACTATCTATGGAATGATGATTATGACGGATATTGATTTAGTTTGTGAATGACACACTCACCACATAGTTTCTTGATGTCTATTAATAGGTTTTTTCTTTCTTGTTATTATTAGTTGATTTTTCAATATCTTGCCATTATCATATGTCTTCGAATGCCGTTTACATTTATTGATTATGTATCTTAACTACTATTTCTATTATAATTACTGCTTTTTTTCTGCACCATACAACTACTGTCACATCGATATTCTATTAGCGTTCCATTCACAGTTATATACAAGCGCACAAAAGCGACTATTCATTCATTCATCCATTCATTCACATTGCTACAATCCAAAGATTTGCAAGACAATATTTTTTTCTAATTTCCGGCTATACCCGTTTACAACATGTTTCGTCTTCATTGGCCGGAATCACGCTGTTGTCTGCACCTGTTTTCGGTTTTCATACTGATAGTTTCTTTTTCATGTCGACTCTAAGACCCGTCTGATGCAATTACTGAAGCAATGTATGACTTAGAATAAAATAATTAAAGAATAATAAAAAAAGAAGAAAATTAAGCTAACTACCTGAGAACATAAATAAAAAATATTACTTTTGTACTCGAGTTTGAGATTATTATGTGTTGTTGCCGTCGATTTTTGTTTTCAATACTATCAAGTGTGCATATTCTCTCTCTCTCTCTCGCTCCCCCTTTCTGTTTCTCTCTTTCTTCTTTTCTTTCATGCGTGCCAATGTGTTTGTGTGTGCGTGTGTCTAGCAGTAACATAGCTCGAACACGATAATCACAATAATAATGAGGGATGTTGCTTGAGGCTCGAGGAGAACAGCCCAGTTGGACGTTGAATGGATAGAAAAAAGAAAATGTACCGTGTTACTTCTTCTTATTCTTCGTTTCTTCTCATCATCGTGTTTTTTTGCTCTGCTCTCTCTTCAATGCACACACACACACACACATACACATATATATACACACAAAGAGAGCTTCGACTTTTCCTGCCATTACTACTGCTACTGCCTGTGAGTTTTTCTATCATTTCTTCACCGCTAGGAAGAATAGAAACGAAAGAATGAGAAGCAAAGACATAGAAAAAGAAGATTTTGCCTTCTGTAACTCTCTTGCTTTTTCCTTCTTTTCTTCTATGTTTTTGTTAGTGTTTCATGTGATCCTGATGACGAATGCTTTTGCGGTGGCGGTAATGTTAGTCTTAGTGATGCTGTTATTGGTAATACTCATCCACGCAAACAAATAGCAAGCGTATTTCCTTTTGAGAAAAATATTCACATTGATCTTGAACTATTGTCTCACATTAAAAGATGCACTCGAGAACGATTTTTGTTTATTTCTCATCGCACGAATAAATTGGCTATCAAATGCAACAGTCTGTAATAAAAAAAATCTGGCACTCATGCATCCTAACGGCATAAATCATCACTATCATATACATACATATCCCTATACGTATGGGTTAGAGATGATTTATGTAGAAAGGTTACAAATGATTTGTCAATTTTTTTTATTAATAAATCTTAATAATTCTTTCGTCGTAATAGAAAAAATTGATTTATATCAGTATCTGTTTAGTCTATATATAGGATACAAGAATATAAAAATAATTAAAATGAATTTTTATTTATTAATAATTTGTACTTACGAATAGTAGAATTGAAGGACAAAAAAAGAAACATATTAAAAAGAAAAAGAGGATAATAGAGAAATCAAATAGAAAGATTTTTATTATATTCATATATATATCAAATAGTGTGTGTGGAGAAAAGACGAGTGAGAAATTACAAACAATATTGAATTCTACTATTGACGTACTATTGACTTTCTAGAGTTCTCTTTCTTTCTACATTGATATATATATAATAAGAGCTTAATTCATAAATATAATGTTCAATCTAGTATAGATGAACTGATTCGTCATTTTTTGTTTGTTTGTTATGAATTGATGTTTTTTGCTTTACAAGTAGATAGAATTACTTGCCCTGTCGATGCAACGATGCTGATTTTGATGGCGTATATAGTCAAGAAAAAAAAGAAGAAAGACAGAGGAAATCATCAATCACTATTAATTTACTTGAGATTCTATGCGTTTGCACTCTCTTATACATACTCATTCTTTACTATTCACATGAATATGAGTAGTAACAGTGATTATTCAATTCAGTTGATTCAATTTATGTGTAAATATCATCTTCTCTTTTTTCTCTAACTCTTTCTCCAAAAACTGATTTCACCCTTAAGCTATTCAATAGCAATGATGATGATAGTAATAGTAATAATAATAATAATAATAATAATAATAACAATAACGACAAAACATTTCAATCGTAATATAGACTAAAAGAATATGGTAAGCTTCACTAAACAAGTGACAAGAAACATAGTAAGCTAGTGTTTGAGATAGTCCATTATCTAATTTTCTGCTTCATTCATTATTGATTGACTCGTGTATATGTGAACGGGTATTCTAACACAATCCTCCCACTCTCTCAACACTTCGATTGATAGAACATAAAGAAAAAGAAAAGACATTCCATTTCCAGTTTCTGCATATGTATATATATAGACATATATATATATGCATATATGTAATCGCTTGACGACAGAAACCTCATCAATGAAAAAAATGATACTTTTAACCAAATGTACTATAAATAAATATGTATGTTCGACATTCTCATCAAATATAGATCGTTACACTACATTATCCTTGACCGGAACATATACACAACCAGTTGAATTCTATAATCATGTTAATATTTATTAGAATATCAAAATTTTTTTTTCTTTATATTATTTTTGTATAATAAATATGCAAAAAAAAATCATATTAGACACATTCACATTACAAGAAATAAAGAAAGATATGCCGTTGTAAAGGAGGGTGGAAGTCAACAGATATCACCGAAAACCAGAAGAAGAAGAAGAAGAAGAAAAAAAAAAAGATCAACGAGAATGAATTAAATTATACACACACAAGTTTTTCTTTTTTGTTATGTATTAATGAAACAATTAAGACAATAATAATAATATGGGTATGCGCGTGCGAGAAAGATTATAATCTGACAGAGGAGAGTAGTATAATGTGTGCATGTGTGTGTGTCTATAATTCAATAATAATTAATGAAATGTAAATCATGAAATAAATATTTGAAAAAGAAAGAAAAGGTTCGTGCTTAGAACGACTAGAGATCGTTTAAAGATATAAAGTAACAAAATGAAATCGAAAAAAAAATTTAATATGAATTTAATTCGTTTTTTTCTATTATTCGTCGAAGTTTATCACGACGAACAAAAACACCATGTTTATCAGGACATTGAAAATAAGAATGTCCACCAAATGTACCATTATTTTTGCCTTAGAAACAAAAAAAAAACGATTGAAGTAAAAAGAAGATTAAAAACAAAAAAAAAAACTTTTATTTACCAACTGGTTCTTCAAGTTCAATACCATACCAAGTACCTTCTTTAAAATATGTTTTACCAACAAAACGAATAAAACCAACTTTATTAAATATATGATGATCTGTATTAACAATAACACGACAACCAATTGGATATTCATCATCATTAATATCAACAATTTTTTTTATTATTGGTTCTGTTATTTGATCATTAATTGATGTTGATGATGATCCAATAGATCGAGGAGTTGTTGTTATAGGATATTTTTCTTCAAGTGTACTTATAGATAATAATGCTTGATCATTATCTTGTTTTTTATTATTTATATTTTCATGATCGTCTATATTAAATGTATGTCGCATACGTATACTTGATGTTTGAACTGGTTGTAATTGTTCTTGTTTAATAAATAATGAACGTGATAACATACTTGGTGTTGTCGATTCAAAATATGAATGTTGATTTTCATTATGATTTATATTATCAATATGTGTTGATATTGGTGTTGATACATTTACTTCTGATCGACTAAATGTTGAAAATGGTGGATTGATTGTTTTTGTTTGTGATGGTGTTGTATCATTATTTGGATAAAGAAATGATGATTTAGCTATTTTATTTTCATCATAAAATGGATTTTGTCGATTAGATGAATCATTTTGTATTGAAGGAGATTTCTTTATTGAAGATTGTTCATCATCACTTTCTCGACGAATATTTATTGGTGCTATTGATAGAGTCTATATAAAGAATATTGAATGTTTCACATATAGATACATATTATTTGTATAATAAATTAGTTTAATTAAGGATTTTATATTGATCACTATTTTAAATGATAAGATTATTAAATTATGTCAAAACTAATCATTGATGATATGTTTTCGATTTTCTTAGTAAAGAATATTAAATTATATTAAGAAAAAAATAATTATTTTTACAATAATTTTAGAATGAATTATCGCACAACAAGTCTCGGATTAAATCGTCCTGATCTGGCCTAGAAAGAGATGTTATCTTTTGGGTCAAGGAAACCTGAATTCTTGTCAGATCGACAGATTCCCAAGTTTTTCTTTTTTTTTGGTTTTTTTTTTCAAAGAAGATTTTCTTTGTAAGAAAATAAATCTGATTTTTTTGTTAAAATTTTATATAACAATCAAAAATCTTTATAATGCAAATGTTTTGGAAATGTCAATTAGCCAATCAATAAAAGCAGAGTATTTATTTGATTCGATGACATTTTTCATCTACACACAAGGTTGAATGAATTATCAACGACATTAAGTGAGCATAAGTGTCACTGAAGGAGAACAGCATTAACACATTGCATATTATAATTAGCAGTATAACTGAAAATAGTAATCGATCATACTCTTTAAAAGATTTCGAAGTATATTACTAGAACCTGTCGGACCCGGACTTGAACCATAGTTTGATACTTTCAATGAAGTTTTCTAATTGAAATTGGATAGTCGCTCTGAAGATGCGAGACTCTTTTTCCGGGTTTTTCTTTTTTAACTGGTTACTATCGCACTTTACAGATTTCTCAGACGATTAAAGATTGTCAGATCGAAAATTTTCGGACCCGAGATCAATCCAACAGACTCTATCTAGGATTAGACACATGCCGGACCAAGGTGTTTTTCATGTCTGTCTATGACCTATTCAGCGGACTAATATCTGAAATCAAAGAATCTGATGTATAAAACAAGTTTGATAATGTAAATGTAAACTTACGGTATTTCCTTGTTGATTAGCAATATTAGGTACACTTGTTGCTTTTCGAATAGTTTGTTGTTTGGCAGAACTTTCTGTTAATGAAACTTCCTAATAAAATAAAATAAAAGTTTTTTTTTTTGTTTTTATTTTATACAAAAATAATTTTACTTGTCTGAGTTTATCAAGTAAAAGTAGAGAATCAACAGCTGATGCATATTGAATATATTTTTGTACATAACTTTGTGTATGACACTCAGAACCAGCAACTAATGCAAGACTTTTTCGATCTTCAATTTCATGAATATATTTTGGTATACTTGAAACAATTTCATAAACAACGCTTGTTCGTTTATATGGTTTCTAAATATTCAATAAAAATATTAACAATTACAATAATATATATTCTATTAATTATAAGAAAATTTAAATAAATCTTACATAACCAAGAAGATATTTCATTGCTTTTCCAGACCACCATCCTTCTGTTTTACCAATTGTTGTTGCAATACGTTTACGTAAAACAAGTTCCATTCGGACAGGTTGAGATATTAATACAATTATTTTTACAATCATATAAATAATTGTATTACTTGAAGTTACTCGATTCCTAAACAAATACGAAAGTTTTAAGTTATAAATATTCTGAAAATAGTTCATGTTCTTTAGCTTACTATTGCGAAGTTACTTCACATTTACGGTATTTGTTAGATGAATGCGGGAACAAGAGAAAAACTGATTTTCGAATTTTAACTTGACATTTTGAACAGAGACAAACTTTAACGAGAATAGTTTTCTGTTAACGTTTCGGATCTTGTTAGTGTTCTTATTATGAGATAGAACTATGGAAATAGGATATATTCATTTTAAAAATCTCGTAAAAATACAATATATCCCCAGCAATAAACTCAAAATACGAACTCTTTTCAGGGGAATTTGTAACTCATTTAGATCTACATAATACACATAGTCTCGACTCAAAAGTGATTTAACAGTCGGAAGACTTCTTTCATAAGATAAAAAAGAAAAAGAAGTAAACCTTACATTTCAGTTGCTTCATGTATAGATGGATCCCATTGAGCAACAGCACGAACCTTAAAACAAAAGCCAGATATTTTTTCATAAAGAGAAAAAAACAAAATGGGTAGTTAAACCTCATCCGATGCATGATGAAGTAATGGTAATCTAAACATATCATTTTTATTTTCTTCACTTAATGTAGCTTTAAGACCAGCTGTATCATTTTCTGTATTCATATTAACTGGATCAAGATTAAGAAATATCAATGGACGATGTTCTTCAATTGTAACTGGTGGTGTCCAACAAGGTGGTGAACCTATTAGAAAGAAAGAAAAAAAAGTAAAAAGTCAATTATAATATTCTTTTATTTAAATTCTTATTACCAGGTATTCCACTTCCTGGTGGTGGAAATTCTGCAAAATTTCTTTCTTCAGCTAAACGAACAAGTTGTTCAAGTAATGTTGTTTCTCTTTCAATATCATTCGATGTTTTATCTAATAAAATTAATAATTAAAATTTAATGTTTTTTTTTGTTTATTAAAATAATAATAATAATAATAATAATTACTTGTTTGTTGACTTAACATTTTAACTTCGGATTCAAGATAAAGTTTACGTTTTTCAATCAAATCAAGCCATTCATGTCTTAAACATTGTAATTCTTCATCTTGATATGAATCTAATTGACGTGGTGCATTCATTTTTCTTGTACTTATTGAACCAATTTCAACTGATCGTATAGCATGTAAAACAAGTGGCATTGTACCTGATTGTGGTAAAACACGTAAACGTGCTACTAAACGTTTCGATTGACCCTATATATTCATAGATAAATCAATAATAATAAATTATTAAAACTTTTTTTTATTTTATTTTACTTGTCGTAAACGATAAACTCCGCCACTGATATTTTGTGATTGTTGTGCATCAACTTCAACTGGTTCCCATCGTCCAGATGCATCTAATTCATGTATTTCAACAGCATATTGTATATGTCGTTTAACTTCTTTCCATCGATTACTTAATGCTCGAATTTCAGCATCACGTCGATTACGTTCATTATTGGCTGTTGTATTTATTAATAATGGTATAGTATTATAATGATACCATACTTCAATTGAAATAGCATTTTCAAAACATGTTGATATAAAATTTTCCGTTATAGTTAATGTATATTCCTTAAGAAAAGAAAAATATGATAATAAAAGTATTTGATTTGAAATTTATTTTTGTACTTTTTCATGATTAAAAGAAAATATAGATGGTTTTTTTTCATCATCTTCATTATCAGTCGATGAAGATTTTATTGAAATAATTGTTTGATCTTCTTTTTGATTTATAAATCTATATCGACACATAATATTTTCAGCATCACATGGAGGTAAATCTCGAACTTCTTTAATTATAAACTATATAAGTAAAAAAATAAAACAAAAAAAGAAATTCGATTATATTATTAAATTCATTTTAATACATACTTTAACTGTTATTTGATCGGTTCTATTATTATTAGATATTCCTGGTGAATCATCCATACTTTCATCATCAAGACTATTTTGACTGTCACTACGTTCACTTAAACTGTTTTCATTAACATCGAGAATTATACCTTCACTAATACTAGCTCGTGGAATATTATTTGATTGAAAATCACTTAATTTCTTCATTGAAGATGTACCCATTTGAACAAGAATTACATGAAGTAAACCAGATATCTGTAATTAAATAAATGTTTTATAGAAAAATAAGTTAATCATAGGTTTATAGCCTTTAGCAATTTCAACTAATGTTCACACCAGAATTACAAAGGAATAGGTGTAATCTCAATAACTCAACCATGATAACATATAGTGATCTGCGATTTTCAGCAATCGAAAAGAAAGAACTCCTAATATCTTTTTATCTGATATTACAAAGCTGAGTAAGTACGGACTTTCTCGAGTACGAGTGAGTTATCACACGACAGAAAATTTAATTAGTAGATTTAGAAATGACATATCCATTCTGAGATCGAGACATTATAAGAATCATGACTCAATACGTTCCTATAATAATTTGTTTTATTATCAAGTTTCATGCAATCGAACTATACCAAAATATCATAACATTTAAGAAAAGTAAGTAAGCATAGATTTGTTGAGGTTAACGATGCGCTATATAGATGCATTGCAAATTCGCCTTGAGAAAATATTCTTCCAATAGGAGCTGATGTAGCCGACACGGACAAATATCTCAGTTCAAGTTCATAGAGGGAGAAAGATAAAGATTTCTCTTCAGGGCAAGTAAACTACTTTTTTTTCGATAGAAGATTGTGGGTGTGGGTCTTGTTTTCACCAGTACCTGTGTCCTAATTGAGCCGTATGTTTACAACAAGGAATTTATTTTATCTAATGAGAATGAATCATGATTACGAAATAAAAGAAGAACGATAAAACATACAGAGACGAATCAGGCACTGATTACATATTATGTTACTAGTCAAAGGTGCTAAGAAAAAAAGAGAACGCCTGTTATCATATCATGATGTGGCGTCTATGGATTTATCTAGATGTATACATGAATAAAACAAACAAAAAAGAAGAAATTGAGCTATTCGTTTCATTCTGGGAAAATACAAACTTCAATTTTTTATCAAGCATCATTTTGATATGATGTGTACTTATCTCGAATTTCAAGTACTTAAGCCTCGAGTACTTTGCCCGCCTCCTATAACATTATACAAGACAAAATTATTTTAAAAGCTATCAACTTCGCAAACCAAATACGTGAAAAAGTGGTCTATTTCAAGAAAATTTTGATAAAAAAAAGAAAATTTGCTAATAATCAAAAGAATCCTATAAACTTGAGATACGTATTAAAATCAAAATTATATTAAAACGAAGCATGGCTTTCATGCATTTGTTTTACGAAAATAATGAGCTTTAAAATAATTTTGTCTCATGTACTATTAGATAAAAAGACTTTCAGAGTTCTTCTCTTTCGATTGTTGAAAACTGCAGGTCACTAGATATTGCCGTTGTTGAGTTATGTAATCTACATTTACTCTTCTGTAAATCTGGTGCAGAGATTAGTAATATCGAATATTTTAGTTATTAAAAAAACATAAGCATTTTATATTCAGAACTTTTTTGAATCTCGTTTGTCTTGCAAGAGCTTTGCATTCACTTTAACTCTAACATCACTACCGGAAGATCCATACAGAGCCCCAACCAATTTTATCACATTTATAAATAATATTAGATGAAACCGTTCATTTTCCCGATATGTTCTAGTGAAACCTATACTTATGATGTCTGCCAATTACGCCTAACAATTATTTATATGAATAGATCATGCCAAATTACATATGAACACCTGTCAACTGCACGATTTCCGCCTAGACCCCCAGAGAGATTCATTATTGTATTATGCATTCATAACAATGTATCGAACCATGTCCTTTTATGTATGCGTTGAAAAGACTGAGTACAATACATTGATTACATCAATCAACGGAACGCAGCTGTTCTTCTCGTGTAGAGCAATTCAAAGTATATGTAAACAGTGATGAATGATTGCAAACTTCTCGATAATAGAACATGATAAGACCATGAAAAAGTATTAGATAAATATAGTTCAAACTAATTACTTTTCTGTTTATTCTTCTTGTAATCAAGTTTTCACATGTTCGTAATAAATTAAGAAGAAGTTCATATATTAAATGTATTTTATTTATTAGGATCGGCATGAATCCCTGCAATTCTTTCGATATACCTTAAAGATTCAAGTATATAAGATGATTATATCAATTTAGTTTTTTCTAATTATCATTGATGTAAATGCTAAATTTGTGATTATGAAAAAAACTGTGATAAAATAAATATAATTCAAGTTGACTACTTGTATATGTTATTTTTGCAATTTACATCTGTTTAAAAGAAATATATGGAATGTGCTATTCTATCTTTCGTATTGAATAAAAAAGAAAGAAAGAAAAAGGCAGAATTAAAATAGAACAAATATAGCAATATTACATACTTTTATTGCATCTATAAATTAAAATAAATGCTTAGTGTTTTATTTTTGAAGAAAAGAGTCAAAAAAAAAACAATCAATTCGATGAACAATATGATATTTAGATTTTACTAATCAAACTTATTTAAACACAAGCTTTTGCTCTCTCGAAATATCTAAACAAATTGAAATAGAGCGTATATTAGGTATGTCACAGTTCCATATTGACTAATGTAGATGATTTTGATGGGCTATCTCCTAGCGCATGAGTAGAATCTGCTGATCAGATCTTTTTAAATGAACTGCGATTACTGAAAAATTCATTTTACCCTATCCAATATATATTAGCCAAAGTTCCATTTCAGTTCACATGTACAATTCAAATTACAGGACTTGAAACGGAACTCTCATAAACTTACTATGAAGTATTCAGTAGTGAAGTTTATTTGAAAAATAGCTGATCATAAATAATTTGATTCAGTTTTTATGTTTACATTACCTCTCCTTGTGTATTAATAATTGGTGCAGGATAATCAAGTTTCGAATCATAAAATAAAGCTTTTAAAAAAATATTTGCCACACCAATTAGACTATTATATTCTTCAATATCAAAAAATGGATCATTTCGTTTTTGTTGTTGTGTTAATAATTGTTCCTAAAAATTCAAGAGAAATTCTATTAATAAATAAAAATTATTTTTTCCTTTTTTACTTTATTTTCTGACATTTGCCATTCATAATAAACATCTCTCATGTCATTTAATTTCGATTCAAATTTTTCAATATTCCATATTTGTGGTGATAAATTTCGTCGTTTTACTTGAATAGTTGGCTCACATAAATTTGTTGTAGCCTTAAGAAAGAAACAATATCTACTAGGAAGGTAACATTTTCAATTAATCAATCATTTTCTCATCAAAAACTGTTCAATTATCGGTTATCAGCCATGCTAGTTTTGGACATGGACATAAGAAAATTTCTTAGATCTTTGATTTTACAGATTAACAAATATTCTGTCAAAATCACTTTTGATCTAATGAGTCAAGTCCTCCAACTGGTTAATTATTTTTGAGTTGGAAGGAAATGCATTATATAGACCCAAATGAGCTTTGAATATCGTGAAGCGAGTTCATAACCGGAGTTTATTGCTACGATGATACTACATTTTTTGGGGATTTTTTTAAGGCCCTCCCCTCCCCCAAAAAAAATGTCAAATTTCGTCAAAAAACGAAATCTGAGAGAAACGCATAGCTAAATACTATGCGGCCTGAACATTAAGAATCAGCATCATTTTAAGGTTTCGTCCTTCAAAAAAATGGATTTTCGCAAAAAAAGTGTACTGTCGTCATCACATACATATTTTTTTCAAAAATTGAATTTTTTTTCAAAAAGAGGATTTTGTAGGAAAAAGTCTCCAGGGTGTGGGTGGGTGTGGGGATGGGTGTGCGTGTGGGTGTGGGTGTGGATATTTTCTTCTCGCACACCCACACCCGCACCTGCTATTTCAAACTTGTTTCACGTTTTTCTCACAACATGGGTTCGACGGAGTATCTCCAACGCCATTCCATCGCGGTACTATATAAAGTCAAACATTTTTTTTGTTTGAAAGCTCGTGTTTGGGGCTAGCCTACCTCATGACCCTTTTTTTAAAATAAGCCCTTTTATTATTATATAAAAAGCCATCTCTATAGAAAAAGCCCTATTTTTTAGGGGTTTTTTTAGTCATTGGACTTGTCATCCCTTTCCTTCGCTTAAAAAGTATGAATTTAAAAAAAAAGGACCACGAAGTAGGCTAGTCCTAGAGACAAGCTTTCAAACAAAAAAAAATTATATATATATATAATGAGGGTCCACAGAGAATTCTTGGAGATGAGATGAGCTATTTTTCGACGCTCGTTTGGTTCATATCTCTGTCAAACGTCAGGGTATCGAGCTGAAAATTTCACCACAGTCTCCTCACTTTAGCCCATTTGAGCGTACCTGGGCTGAGATCGATTTTTTTAGGGACGGGGGGAGGGGGGCTTAAATGAATGATGTGATAACAAAAAAATTAGTTTTCGAATTTTCACTTGAAATTTCGCATAGAGGAAGATATTAACAAGAGGAATTTTAGGACTTTTTATTTGCTTCTATCCTGAAATACGAGCATTAAATTTGTCGATTTATATGAGCAATGTAAAAGATACGCTTATATCATAGCTGTATCTTAGAATAGAAACAACGACAAGAGCTGAAATATTCAGAGAAATCTATTCTCATTAAGACCTGTCTCTATTTAGAGTTTTGAGTAAAAATTCGAAAATCAGTTTTTCTGATGTTTCTGAAGGGAACCACAGCATTCATTTAAAATTTAACGTTAAATTTCAGTATCTCAACAATATTACACTAAGAGCTTGACCTCTTCTTTAGGATATTCATAGTTCATTGAAGTCTCCACCAAGTATAGTCGGTCAGTCCAAAATTTTCGAACTCCGATCCGCGATAAATCGGACGGATTCTAACATAAGGCACACAGTCCTGACTCAAAAGCGATCCATCATTTGCAGGACTTCCCTCATCAGATTACATAGCATATCTAGTTTTTTATAAGACAATAATCTTTTCTGTTCTCCAAAAATGAATTTTACCTACAATAATATCATCTTGAAGACTTTCACATTGAAATGTTAATGTGCGTCTGTTTTATACATTAATATGGCTTTACTTTCTGCAAAAAAAAATCTATTTGCAGCAGAAAAAAATACTGTTGTCTACGAAATTCGATATTCTCTATGATCTGGGCTAGACAAAAAATTGTTTGCCTAAAAAACCAATATATAAAGACTTAAAGAGATTCCTTATGATGATATTCAAAATTAGGATGATCAATAACTGACAATCCATTAGCTTTTAATGAGAAAGTGATCGATCAGTTGAGAAAACTGTTTCGTAAAATTAAATTTATCTTCTTTTATTTCTATTACACGTTCGCTTGGTTTTAAATATGAAACAGGAATTTGTAACATAACACTGTAAGTTGTCTGTCGTTGCATCTCACTTGCAATTGTATTTGCTTCAGATACAAGAGCATTAACACGTATTAATTCTTGTTTAAGACGATTAAAAAATGATCGACTTTCTTCTGATCTAATGAATAAGAAAAATAATATTGATAAAATATTTGTTTTCAATTTAATACTCATTAAGAAGTTTATTTGAAAAACGCCATTTTGAAAGTGATTCTTCAAAAGCATGACTTCTGGAATTAATTGATGATGAACGACTTTCACTACGCATTAATTGTGTTTTAAGATATTCGATTTCTCTTTCATAAACATCAGATGTTTTCTTTGGAATAATTTCTAAATAATATTAAAAATTAAATTCTAGAAATTAAATTATTAATATTGTTTTTTGTTTTTTTTTACGATTTGTTTCTTGATTATTATCATCTTGTTTTAAAAATAATCTTAATTCTTTAGTCATTGGATCTGTTGCTAATTGATTCAATAAAAATTCATTTTGTGCGTCTGTAAATGATAAATGCGATGATGTATTCATAATTGATGATAGAACAGAATTATTATTTGTGGAATCTATTAAAATAAAATTGTTAATATTATAGATTAATAGTCTTATGATTTGAATAATTAATTGTTCTTTTCTTATCTACCTATATAAAATATTCACTCATTCTCCGGTCAGTAAAAGACAACTGATTAGAATGAGACATTTTCACTCTTTTCGAACATACATTCAGAATTTCCTGTTGGAATCAAATTGGACCATTATCATCAGATTATTCCAAGAGATAAAGAAGATTGTGTGCATAGAATACTATTTTGGTCAATTTTAATTCGTAGTAGTTTTTAATGAAACAGCTTTATAGAGTCATGTTTGTTTTACAAAGTGTGCTATTTACTTTTCTTTTTTTAAAGGTGACACGACAAATAAGTTCTCGACGGATGAGCCTTCCGACAGATAATTTCCGAGAGTTAAATCTTCGACAAATGAGTCCCAATAGATGAGCCGCCCGATACTTGAGCCTTCGTTGATTAATGAAGCAAGACATAAGATCAATATCATGTGCGAGTGTTCATATATGTAGGTAGACAGAAGGTTCACATTCACACCCAATCACACTTGAATTTAGACTTTTCGTTTGATAACAAGAGGCTTATACTTTAAACGAGTCAGACCTCTATTCAATTTTTTATGTCAATGTAGACATATCCACATAAAACTATTTTTTGTATTTCTTTAATTTGTTCATTAATGTTTCCATAGAACGTAGCTCTTTAATGTAAATGTATAAATGAGATTTCACTTATTGTAATATTTGATTTATTATTCTACAATAATTCTGAGGTAAATCTATTCAATTTAGAACTGCGCGCAAACTATTATTTTGCTTAGTACAAACATAGTTTTGATATTTTTTTTTACAAAATCTACTGATAATTGTTCAATCTTACCCCAGAAAGAAATGAATGAACATTTTGTGTCAAGACTTTCGCATTATAAGTTATAAAAAAAAAAAAAACAATTTCCGGTCAATCATTAGAATCATAATTTAGTTATTTACCGATTTTAGATTAAAATTCTGATAAACTAATTTGTTCTTTTTTCATCTTGTAAGATGAAATAAACTAAACAATATACTTTCTCTAATTGTATCGGTGAAAAACTCTTTACCTAACACATAATATGTAATAATCGGACTAATACAAATATATACTATTTAACAAGCTTGTAGTTCATTGAATACAAACAATTTCCTCCTTTTTCTTTTCTTTTATGTTGGTTCCGAAATAATCCACTTTAAATTGAGAAAAATGACTCGTTGGTCTTTCATAATCACTCCTACCAATTCTTATATGAACTAACAAATGGCGTATTAAGAAGTAGACACTTTTATTTCTTTTTTTAGTAGTACAATCATAGTTAAAAGACTTTTCTTTTATACAATTTAATAGGTTTCAACAAAACTATTTTATTATATTTTTCTTCGAATGAAGAAAAAAATTAACATCTATTCAATAAAGTAACTGCGATCTCCTATTTCTTACAGACATTTATGAACTTTTGTCAGCCGTTGATCAGAAAAATAAAGTTCGATGGTAAAAGTAAAGTATTTAGCATCAATACACAGAGAATTGTATACTCGAAGTTTTCAAGGCTTCTACTATTTTTACTCTGAAGCAATTTAATTTTGAACAAATGAAAGTCTTTAGATTTTACTCAATATAAAAAAAAGACGAATAATGATATAAGGTCTATCAGAAAAGAATCTTTTGTAATTTTTTCGAAGTTCTCATTTCAAGAAAAATTCTGTCATTATTTTTATCATTGCAGTTGAATTAGCTTACAATCTTTTAATTTATTTCGCCGACAAGAAAAAGTTATTTGAAAAACAGAATAATACAGTTCCGTAGAGCAAAAAATTCTCTATTCAATAATATAAATTTGTCCCATACTTTATAAAAGTTTCTCTAAGTATTTTTAAAATATCACCATCAAGGCTTATCACTATGCCTTAATCTTTTCTTTTGAAAAAAAGATTCATAAGTCAATTTTTTTACAAGAACGTATCATAAGTTTTACTACAAAATGTTAGATAACAATACTGCGTAAGACTCTGACACGCCCAATGTTCAAAATTTGTTTTTTTTTTGTTTTATAATAAATTAGCATTGTTTTCTAACTTTGTCTAACTATAACATGATCGAGTACGTACGTTTAAAAGGATGACTAAATGCATCTTTCCACATGATGTACCCTGAAGGTCGTTTTTTTTTTATGCAAACATTACTCTATTAAAAGCTCAGTCAAGAACACAAAACTTTGCTTGTTTTGTACGATATATCCGAATAAAGAGTCCTACTCAAATTCTGACGTTTCAATCAGATGCATCATTCATTTGTCTTGAAATTGAAATAAAGTTGAAGTATATTGACTCATTTTTTTTCGTCGATTAATTCAAGTTCTTACATAGACTCAAAAAAGATACATTATTGTTTTTGTAAAGTTTGGAAAAATAAATGATTCATTCATACGGTAGGTATTAATACATAATTTACACTAATATGTTTACAAGATAGAGCTTTTTCAAGTCCTACAAAATTGCTATCTTCTTGTTTTTCATTAATTTAAAATTCTAACGAATAGACCTGAACAGACTATTTTTTATATGTAAAAGTTAACTAAATTGAAGTCTCAAAGTGTTATTTATAGATATATACGAGATCAATGATTTTTGTCTCCAGCCTCAATCAAAAGAAAATTTGACCCTGAACTCGAACAGAAAAAAATTTGACTCCGATCACGATCGAAAGGAAATTTTTGGCCCGAGATCCGAAGAGGAAAAAATTCGGTTCCGGTCTCGGTCATAAGAACATTCGGTTCCATTGCCGATCAAAAGAAAATTTATTCCCGATCTTCGCCGAAAAAATTTGTTCCCACTTCCACCGGAACCAGATCCATCTTGCACACACCTACTTATTTATCTATTTCTTTTACTTAATATTTTGTAGAAGACTAAATCATGAATCTTTTAAAAGCAAAAAATGATTGATGCTTGGTAATACTGAGAAAATAATTCGCAAGATATCTATTCTAACACGCCTATTATCATTGAAATGATAAGTAGAACTTACTTTTATCTCCTGGTGAATTTAAACGAAAGAAATGTGAACAACCCAAAAGTATTCGATCACCATGTCTTAATTGTCTTTCATTATCAATCAGTTGACCATTAACATATGTTCTATACAAAACAGAAAAAAAAAATTCTTTTTTTTTTGTATTTTTCTTTTGAAATTTTCATTCAAACTTCGATTTATTTAAAGGTATAAGAAATATTTGATTTTGATTTCTTATTTCAATAACACAATGTTCTGGTGAAATACCAACTCCAATTAATTCAATATCTTGTTGTATTGATGCATCAGGTCTACCGATTGATGTTTTTGGCTAAAATTAAAAATTGCAAAAAAAGAACAAAAAAATCAAACTTCATTTCTTTAATTGAATATTTACTTTTAAATAATAAACTAATAATTCATTAAGTGCTGGATCAGGATTTAAATTAACAAGATATAATCGATCTTTTTCAAGACCAATACCAGAACTACATACAGAAATACCACTTTTTTCAAGTAATTCATGACGTTCCTATGAATAAAAAAAAAAAAGAAGCTAACAAGCTTTAACATCGAAAAAATAAAATTTTCTTTTTTATACTTTGCTTATTTTATCTGTTTCAGCAATACGTTGTTGCCAATCTTTAGTTATTGTTTGCATTAATTTTTCATTTTCTTTTATTTCAGCATTAAGTTTTTCAGCTGATTTTTCATCTTTAGCATCAGCTGATTTTTCAGCTTTAGCATCAGCTAATTCTTTTCGTAATTTATCAATTTCATTTCTTAATTCTCGTATTATTTTTCCTGGTTCATCTTCATTAATAATAGCATGATTAACAATTTTCTTAGCTTGATCAGCATAACGTAATGTTGATATTGTTTCTTCATAATTATCATATGCTGGTGATATTGTTGCTAACATTATTGTAAATGAATTTCCACCTAAACTATCCTAAAAGAAAACAAATATGTTAAATATCTTTAAAAAAAACCACAAAAATATTAATTTTACTTTTAATAACCAAGTTAATACAGAATCTCGATATGGAACAAAAGTTTTTTTTGTTGATTTTGGATTATTTTCATGTGATTGACGTGTAGCTAATGCGGAAATAACAAGACCTAATGTTGAAAGAGATCTTTAAAAAAAAGAGAATAATAAAATTCTACAAAAATTTTCATTCATTTGTTTATAATTTATACTTATTTATATTGCATCCTTCTCGAAAACGAATTTGTTCTATTTGAATACCACTTTTTGATACACGTTCTGATCCAGCTAAGTCAACTAAACTTATTTTGCTTACTTTTACACTTTGTGTCTAAGATATAAAAATAAATAATACTAAAAAAAATATAATAGAAAAAAATATTTGATTGTACTTCTGATGCTTCAGTTGATAATGTTTGAGTTAATTTAAGAGTAAATACAGCATGTGATCTTGAACTTTCATTATTCATATTTGTTGATGCTACTGTTCGATAATTATTACCTTCTATTAATAGAGTTTCTATTTCCTAGAAATAGATTTATTATTAATTAGACATCAGAATTTAATAATAAAATCAAAGTCAATATGATGTGTAGTTTTTATACGAATAAGTTTAATTAAAGTTTTTGTGTTGTAGATGATAGAATAATCGAAATTAGGATTTTCTATTGGGCATATTATTTTTTTTTTCAAACCCTGGCACATCCTATTTGAAATATGTTCTTTTCGTTTTCTTTTTGGTTTTCTCTCTCAGCCCTAGCAACCGAGGGAAGAGGGAGAAGCCAAATATTACTGGATACGTTTCCATAGCAATGAAAGAAGGCGCGTTAGCAATAACAGTACTTAGATCATTCTGAAATCTTCCCAAGCATTCTAAAAATCTAAGATTTCTACTATAGATTCTAATTAATGTACATATTTCAGGTTTTGGTATGTAATGCAACGAAAGGATTTTATGGTAGGTATCAATCAGTATGGCAAGGTATTATTGATCTAGCTGAGTCAGAACATAATGAACTAATGGAATTCTAAATCTGGGCAAAACTCAACAGTATACATAAAAGCTCATCGAGAGAAAGAATTGTGAACGATTAAAATGATATTTGCCACTCCCCATGACATGTATCGCGTATATTATCATTAGGAGAAAAGAAATTATGCATTGAAAATGTACATGACAATACAAATAAGGTTCGTTCAGTATAACAATATTAAATGAATCAAATAAATTGATAGAATAGGAATTCTAAATGCAAACATTTTCGGAATGATGACATTTCGGAGCACATGTATCAACCATAAAAATTATTATCATTTTGATTTATTCATTCATTTGACATATTTTTAAATAAATTATTTTTGACTCGTCCGATCATATACCATACATTTATAATAGTCGCAGTTTTGTGACTTCAACCGATTAGCCCTACGTGAAGCCACACTAACAAGTTTTCGAGTCATTGAATTTAGCATAACTTTTCTTAGTATAACAAGTTAGAATTTAAATAAAAGAATTATGCCAAGCACTTCAGTTTGGCGTGCTCTTTCATAAAAGAAATAACTAAACATATAGAATAAAGGTTCACAGAGAATTTCAAATTACCAAAGTAGTAATTTTTGACTCTTGTTTAATGAATATCGACTTATGTTTATCGCTCGAAGACCAGCGTACAGAATTAAGCATACTTTTTATTCTTTTAGAGATCCCTAATTTTTATATACCTCACAAAATCAAGAGAATCGAGATATAATAATATAGTTTTTCTTTGACTAATTTCAAAAATATAATCTATTTATTTTGCTTGCAAGTATATCAGAAGTGAAAAAGATGCAAAATAAGCTACATGACCTTGGGCTCGAGTGACTATGGCATTTTCCCACACTATATAACTTATGGGTATTTTTTATCTAGATTTTTGTTATTATACTTTTTCATGATTATGATGATCATTAATTACAGAAAATATGGTAGAATGAACGACTCTTGATTTCGTACTCTTATCTTCTTATGCATAATATCAATCGTAAATGTTCATTTTCAATGGATTTCTCGAATCATATACTAGTAACCTCTAGACTTTGTGTCAATAATATCTCTCATTTTGCAGAAAAGAACCTCATACTTCAAAAGTGATGATCGATCGTAAAAAAAACAGTTGTAATTAAGAAATTATCGGACATAGTTACATTTTGATAAACAGAAATCAAATATTTATATGTCACAAATCATCCAGGAAAGAGTCTTTGCCATGTTCAACAATTAGCATTCGTTGTTATCAATGATTACACGATGTATACCGTCAGATACAATCGTAAATCTGTCACTCTTAGATAGAACATAAAATACTTCATATTTTCGTCTAGTTATTTTGTTTTTTGCCAAATGCATCTGTTACTTTCGAGCAATTCGAATAACAACTGTGATATCTGTCATTTTTCTATTACAAACTCAACTTGAAAACTAATAACGTAAATCGATACAGTTTATATAGACTCAGACAGATACGATATCATACTTGTCTGACCCTAGATAAACTAATCAACATGTCACTTTGTGAAGAATAAAAGACTTATGATTACCATAGTTATTATCGAAAATGTCCGAAACTGATAGACCTTTCTCACACTATTGAGACCTTGAAATTTTGCTTTACATCCAATAAAACCATAAATAAATACACAGAAATGTGAAGAGTTTCATGCTTTATCTTTCTATTCTATCGGAAATGAGATATAAAAAAGTAGTAGATTTATAATCTTATACAGCAACAAACTTTACAAGTCTTTATCAATCACAATTGAGTAATGATTAATATTGTCTTACAATTAATCATTTACTAATGACTAATTCTTCAACGTATGATTACAAATGAAATTTATTTGTTCTATATTTTATAACTAACATACTCGTTTCTTTACTCTTTAAATATACATTTCGAATATGATTATTCAATAAAACAAATTACCTGATAAGATGTAACAACAAGTTGTGAAAGTCCATCTACATATGGTCCAAGAATTTTATTTTCTCGTACTTTTAATGCATGATGATTACTAAATTAAAATAAAATAAAATAAAATAATAATATCAATATTAAATATAAATAACTTACTTATTTGGATTTAATAAATCTCGTACTTTTTCATTATAAATTTCAAAATACGAAACTTCAACACGATAAGTTGATGAAAATTTTAATGATAATATATCATTTATTTTTTCATTATCAATTGATTCAATATTTCTATCATTATTTTCATCTTGTTGTAATTCATTTTCTATTCCATCAAACACCGATTGACTAAGACGTGGAATTATACCTCGATCATTATGTATTCCCATCATTGTATAAGATTTTCCAGAGCCTAAACAATCAATTAAATTTTGTCTTTCTTATAAACAAATAAAAAAACAAACAATTTTAATCAAACCTGTTTGACCATAAGCAAATATACAAGCATTATAACCTTCAAATGCATGTTTAACAATTTCTATACCAAGTTTATTGAATATAAATTCTTGACCTTGACATTAAACAAATAAAATTAATTAGTTCTATTAAAAAATAACTTACTAGCATAATTAGAATTATCTAAACGCATTGAGTCAAAACAAAAATCATATGAAAATGCTTTAGGTGTATGATGTCTAATAACAAAATAAAAAAAAAAACAATATTTTATGAATAAATACCAAAAGATATTTTACTTTTCTTGAGATTTATTAACGAAAATTTGTGAGCCATGAATTGTAATAATAACAGGAGATTTAAGATCAATCTAATTTTAAAAAAGTAAGATTAAAATAAGATCATTTCAAACTAAAAAAAAAAAAGAAAAGAAATTAAATCATTTACTTCTCGTTGATTAAGTGGTCTTGCTCGAACAGCAACTTGCACATGAGCTTCAGTTCCATTTGATTTCGGCATACTCATTTCTTTCAATTTAAATAAACTATATTCTTATATTCAGTGAAATAAAAACTTCAAAAATCAAACAAATCTTTTATCAATAAACAGCTACTATCAATTTCAATTAATCATTGTTCATGGTGTTGCACTATCGATTGGTTATCTAATTCAACGAATGAAAAGCTAGTATTTTTTCAATGATTCATCATTTTTTTTTTATTTTTATTTTTTATTAATTACAAACACTTGTGTTTGTCTACCTTCCTTTCTTTCTATCCTTCACGATTATTTTTTTCTCCTTCAGGTTCTTAATTCAGATTGCTGTTGACTTAGATTAAATGTCTATATTGTATTCGTGAGAGAATGTCTAATAGTGAATTCAAAGCACGTGCACTTTATGATTTCGTTGCTGAAGGTCCGAATGAACTTAGTTTTAATGCAAATGATATTCTTACAATAACATCTAACACTGCTGGCCATGGGTGGTGGTAAGATTTTTTTTTTTTTTAATTAAGGTTGTTTTAGTATTAAATCATTTTTTTAAATTATTTATAAAAATAAAAGGTATGCAAAAAATTCGGCTGGACAAGTTGGTGTTATTCCAGAAAATTATGTTCAAGCTTTAGCTGATCCGCCAGAGCCTAATGAACCACCACCACCACCACCATTATTTACATTTTCAAACCCAAATAATACTTATCTGAATAAAGATCTTTTTAATCCCAATAACAATGTATCTAAACCAGCAATACCACCAAGTCATCCACCACCATATGATCCACCGCAATACATGAATCCGACAACGATTAATAGTTGGCAACCGGTAGAGCCATCGGCATGGCCATCATCGCCATCACCAGTACAGCCCACTGTAAGATATATTTTTATTGAGTCCTTCTATTTATTTGTCTCTGTTTTTTTTTTGTGAAAATTCTTGTTTCTTGCTATTTTTATAGCAAGTAAACGAAGACAACTTAACTAATTTTATTCAATCTTTAAAATTTCCTACAGAAATCGAGAAAACGTCCGTCAATGCTAAAGTTGTAGCAACTAATTCATATGATGAATATATCAAAGTCATAGATGTCATAAATGTTTCATCAGAATTTGATTTTCTTCCCATTACAAATTCAGATTCAAATTCATTACTCAAAGATTCATTAAATGAGCGACCAGATGACTGGTATGGTAATCTTCCAATTACTCCGGCTCCTATTTTATTAAAAACAAATCAACCATCTTCATTTACTTTTCCAAATATTTCATCATCTACACAACAACAGACGACAAAGTCAAATGATAGTTTCATTCCGGTACCATCATCATCAGCTGAATCAATTTATGATTCAATAGATAATGTCCAAATATTACTAGCTTATCCTATCAATAAACAGACAAAAGCACAATCAATGCCTCTACTCTCGTCATCATCATCTATGGATTATTTTTCTTCTATTGATACGAATCTAAAGTCCGCAACATTAGTATCCAAATTTACTTCATTTTTGCAAACAACAAAGAAAAAAAGAAAAAAAAAGAAAAGTTTACTTAAATTTTTAACCTTATCACGAAAATACAACAATAAAATAGCAAATTATGAAAATAATAATGAGGTCAGCAATTGATGCACATAGATTCTAGCTCAGTATTTAGATTAGAATATAATAATTCGTTTAAAATTATTGCAATATTCATCATATGTATTGTTGATTATTTTCTTTTTATTGCTGAATTAATTTTATTTATTATTAACTTAATTTTTATTTATTTATTTATTTAGGTATCACGTCAATCGACAAGAAGAGATACTGATTCTGATGATAGTTTTAGTGATTCTGAATATCCACAACAATCATCACAAACTATGAATTCATCTACAGTAAGAATTTTTATACATATTTTTTTTTTTTTCATCATATCAGAAAAATAACAGAAATTAATATCTTTACAAGTAAATTAATCATAATATTTCAGCTATCGAAACATCATTCATTTAAAGAAACAAAAACGGTCAGTTGAGAAAATGAATTATTTTCCTTTATGTCTATCGTGTGTATCGATTGCATGCACTTTTGTGGTTTTGCTTTCATTGACAATCAATTATAATTATCTATATATATAATAATAATAATAATCATCTTTTTTAGTTAACACCAAACTCAACACTCCAAAATAATAATAGAACTTCAATGCCTAATAGTGAAGCTAATAGAACTACACCACGAGCTCGGTAAGTTATTTTACTCTTTTTGTAAATTAAAATTATAAATTATTTATTTAGATTTTTTGATAAACATGGTTTAGATAGTTATTTATTAAATGGATCTAAAGCAAAATGTGATGATCATGTTGAAATAAGTGTAAGAAAATATTATTTATTGTTTTTGTTTGATTTTATATTTATTATTAATAATGTTTTTTTTTTTGTCTCTTTCTTTTAAAGTTCAATGAAAGAGAAGGTGGTGTTTATTGGTCACCTAATCCTGGTTTACCACCATTTAGTTGTAGAGTTGAAGATCCAGCAAAAGGAACTAAATTAGGAGGATTAAAAGCTTTTACAGAATATAAAATACACCCACAAGTAAATATTTTATTATTAATTGAAAAAAGAAAGAAAACATTTTTTTTTTTAATTTAGATTTCAGGAGGTCGATACGTTAGTAGACGTTATAAACAATTTGATTGGTTGCATGAACAACTTGTTAATAAATTTCGTTTTATTTGTATACCACCATTACCTGGAAAACAAATAGCTGGTAATAAAGTAACAATTTATGAAGTTTTTTCATTGAAATAATTAAGTTTCTTTTGTTTTTTTTTAGGACGATTTGAACACGAATTTGTTGAAGAACGTCGACGACTACTTGAATTATGGCTTAATCGTATATGCCGTCATCCAGTACTTTGTGCTTCATATGCTGTTCAACATTTTATTACATGTGAAACTAGTGACAAGAATAAAAAAGTATTAAATATAAAACTAATAAATAGAATTTAGTGTGTTGCTTTTTTTTTTCACTTTTAGGATTGGAAAGGAGGAAAACGAAAAGTTGAAAAAGATGACTTACGTGAAGCATCATGGCTTTCATGTGTTACTTTAACAAGTACAGGATTATCTGAATCAGAAATGTACTTATATTTTTCTTTTTTTCTATTACCATTAAATCTTTATTTCAAAAAAACTATTTAGTGCATCACAAATTGAAACATTTGCGCAACAACAACCAGGTCTTGAATCACAATTAAAATATCTCTGTCAAGGTGTAATGAAATATCTTGAAAGACATACGGAAGTTTATGAACGTGATATTCAACGAATAAGTGAATTATTTTCGAGAGTTCATCAAGCTGTTGTAGTAGATACTACTACACCTGGTACAATTTTTAAATTATAATTATTGATTGTTTTTGTAATCGAAGAATATTCTTTTCTTTTGTGTTTTAGGTAATAAAGACCTTTCAAATTCGATATCGAAAATTAGTGGATCATATGGTGGTATAGCTGACTTATATAAAACTAAAGTATGACTTTTAACATTTTAGAAAAATATTGAATTGATAAGAATAGACAAATCAAATTATGAAATTGTAATATTTATGATTTTCTACAATAGCTGTTTAAGCATAGAAACCCCGAACGAAGAATCCTAAAGTCAAATCCGATGAGATGACATTGAATTTACATTTGGACATTAGACATTGTTTGATCTTCCTTATCATTGGCCTCTTCCTATTGCTTTGCGCTCTCGTAAAACTAGTTGAAAATTAACAATTTAGTCGTACTTTTGTTTTACCTTATTATTACATTCAATTGTTCATTAATAAATTTTTAATAAAGAACAAAATAGAATCAATAATTTATGCATACTATTCGTTTGATTGTGTAGTGTTTCTTTTGTTATCGTAAATAGTCGTTAGGAGCATGAATATTTTACTTGGGTTAGCTGAAAATGTCTTTGCATCGCCATAAAAAGTATTAAAAATATATTTCACATATTGTCTGATTACCATAAAAAGCAAAACTAGATACTTTGATACGATCGAACTTTGTTTCACGCGACAAATTCCCACTGTCGAATGTCATCGGATCCTATTGACGGAATTCGTTAGTTTTCGACAGTATTATTTTTCTTTTTTGTTGAAAGCGATGAGATAATTAGAGTCTATATCAAGTTACATGATTAATTATGAAATTTGAAGAATAATAAATTGAACAACACAATTTTTAATTACAAAGCTTTGATTGACACGTACTTTGCATTAATTATAAGAGACAAATCTAGGCGACACTCGAGATAATCAGAGACTTCATAAATTAATAAGAAAGATTCTTAAAATATATTTCATTTAGGCAAGTGAAGGTTTACGAGATTTTAATGAACGTATTCAAGAATATATTGGAATTCTTGCTTGTTTCCCGTCGATATTAAGTATTCAACGAGTAAGTAAAGCACTTAAAAAAAAAATATTTATTTTTTTTTTATAAATTAATTATTTCGATAAAAAATAGAGTGCAGCGGATTTTATAAAAACTGTCTCACAACGTGCACCACCAGATTTCTCCAATGCTATTCATCGTGGTCATGTACTTAATCATGTTGTATTAGCTGAAATAAATTTTTTTCAAAGAGAAAAAGTTACTGATCTTAAAGCATATATGAAAACACTTGTTGATGAACAAATTCAATTTTATGAAAAAGTAAATTATTTAAAAATCTATGAATTCAATCGAAATTTTTTGTTATTTATATAGGTATCTGCTGCATTACTTGATGCATCAATAACATTTAAATAAAACGAAGAAAAACAAGAAATTCAATCCCGAACTGATATGATTTATTATCTGCATGCTTTTTTCTCTCGTTCGATTTCAGCTTGTTTATTCATATATAATCGCTGGTGCTTCTATCTTGGTTTTTTTCTTTCCGGTCGTTCGGTTATTTTTTCACTTAATATATATATATAAACAATTTGTTGCATGATGATATTCGTTCACTCGGTAATTCATCATTATTTATTGTATGCATCAAATGTTATTTTTCTATATTTGTGAATATTTTATCCAACGTTTCTTGTTTTATTCGTCTTTATTCGAAAACAAAACAATAATATCTTTAGGCTTTTCTTTTCTCATTCAAGAATATAGAGAAACACAAACATTACTTTACAGTAATATTATGAATAACTATGGAATGAGTGACTAGGTGCAGAAAAAAAAAAAAGAATGAAACACAACAAAAAGAAAAAAGAATTTTTAATTTATTGCATTTCGAAAGCCAGGTGAACGGCCAAATGGTAATATTGACGGAGGGTTTCGAGAATTTTTTAATGATGTTGACATTGTTGTTATTGGTAATTGATCGAGTGAATCAGAACTACCCGGTGTTGTACTCATCATCATTGATGTTAAAACATCATCAGAATCATCAATTTCTTGACGCTTAAAAAAAAACAAAACATAGAAATGTTTTTTCTTTCTTCCTGTTGTAAACTACGTTTTTCTATAACAGAATTTTATTATTTTGTTGCTTTTTTATTTCTCAATTGTCAAAAATACGTTCACTCTCCCTTCCCAAAATCCGATCAACTTTAGCAAAAATCTTCCGATCAACGTCATGAGTACAACCCATCGGATCTGATGGTCTCTACTCGTGAGTCATCGATCTTTCTTTTCAATCCTGATGACGTCGGGATATTTCAAAATATGTGTAATATTTCTCTGATGTATAAATACTAAACGCTTACGTCATTATCATCAGAATCTTTAGGAATATTTGATTCATCATTTTCATCTCGATAATCATTGTAAATTGAGTGAATAAATATTAATGATCGTTTTAATACATAAGGATCAAATGGAAAATAGGAATAAAGAATATTTGAAGGTAAATTTCCATTTAGATAATCATTTGGTGAAAATGTTTCAGGTAATGTATAACGATTATTTGTTTCAATAATTGAATAACAAAAAACAATTTGATAATTTCTAATTAAAAAATAATTAAATAACAAAAAAAAAAAAACAATAAAGTTATTATTCTACCTTGCTAATTGTGCAAATCGATGTGTAATAGCTGGTAAACTATATTTAAGTGGATTTAGTTCTGAAGATATAATACGACCAATTCTCCATTTTAACACAATCTCAATTCCTATAACATAAAAGAAAAAGAAAACTCTTACATAAAGAATCATGTTCGTTTTTTTTCTTGTGTATGTATATACCATCAGGTAATCGAGCGATTTCTTGATGTCGATAAATAAATATATAAAGAACTGCTTGACAAATGGCATAAAATGGTAAATGACGATTTGGATTTGAATTTCCACTAGTTGTCTCTGTTGTAGTAACATAAGCATGTAACCAATCGACCATTAATTGTGTGATATTTAATACAGATCTAAATTATAATTCTGTATAACATGCCGTCAATCCGAAAGACAACTAAAAAATTGTCAGTACACAACGAAATATATGTAGGCTTCTAGAGAAAGAATTTCTCTATCTAACAATCTTTGCAGTATCAGGTTCTACTACGTACCTTTGATCTGTTAATAGTATGCAATAGAACCTGATAACACATATACTCAGTAGCGTAGTGAGGAACTTTTTCGGTGTGGACAATCACTTTTTGACCAATTGGTAATGGCTCAATATCCCATGGGTGGCTAAGCTACTACATACGCTATTAGATAGAGGAAGTCAGTCTCAGGATTCTACATATATCCCTTTGTGTAGTCAAAAGCCATCGAAAAACTTATAGTTGCCATTTAATCAAAGTTTTTCGTTGCGTTTATTATTTCGCATGATTGGATAGAGCTCGTCGCATTATCTATAAAAATACGATTTTTGACAAATTGAGACGATGTTTTCGTAGCAAAGTTAGTGCCAAAACCAGAACACTAGCATCTCACTTGTTTTGGTTGGACAGTGATAGGTAATGCCGTCACTACATATGCTATATTATCCAAGATGGAAATGACTAGTAGAAGAGCTAACAGCGAAACTAGGAACCTAGCTTCTCTCTTGTTCTGTAAAGGTTAGTGGAGAATGCAGCTACTTTATTAGCACTGTTCATTCTTGGTAATACGATGCACTTTGTAACGGTGTCATCTGCCGCAGCTTAACCAAACCAAGAGAGCCCTAATGTGTTGACCCTACTAAGCGAAATTGAGGACAATTGTATGAAAAAGAATCAGAAAATCCTATAAAAGTTGAAATACACTAAAAGCATCAAATCTTGGTAGCATCAATATTTATCTGAATTTTCATCTATATTTTACTCTTCATATAAATCGGCTAAAATTTGACGCATGCTTTTTGAAAAATACTGATTGTTCAGAAAATCAATTTTTTCGATATGACAATAAAAACGTGATAAATACGGATTTGTGTTGAACGATTTTGATGATCAGTACTTTAGTTCCAAATCAAACGAATATCATATTCATAATCATTGTAAAAAGCTGCATCGAATAGCATACTCAAAACTAGTTTTCTACAAATCCTTTATACTCTTTCTCTATTATTTTCGAATATGCAGACCTGCGCTTCGCCTAAGATCAAAATTTGACAAAAATTAGTTTCAAGTATTGAGTATATTATTCGACGCAGATTTTGTGCTGATTCTTAAGGTTTTATTTGGTTGATTTGAAAGTGAAGCTTTTCAAAAAGTATGCAGAATTTTCTTCCTAATTATACAACGAGTGAAATCAAAAAGATTATTCAGAGACGACTTGATACTTTTTGATGTATTTCAATTTTTATAGGATTTTCCTAAGTTTCACAACAAAATTCACCACCTGAATATTTGTAAATATAGGTAACTCGATGAGCTCTACCTAACCATGAAAAACAAAATATTACTTAATTTTCAAATTGTCTGCACCTGAAATATAACATCATGAAATTAATTATTTACCTAATGGATATATATTTCGCTCGAGCTATTAAACTACATAAATAACAAATCGATGCTTGTCGAAATGTCATTGAAACTGATGGTGATACAAATGTTTTCCAACAATTATTCATAAATTCATCGCTAAAATCCTAATAAAAAGAAAGATTCAAGAAAATTCTTCTTATTTTTTTTTCAAATAAAAAAAAAAACAAAGCATTAATTTACCGTATGAAAACTACAAATATAAAATATTAGAAATTGTACATGTGATGAATCATGCGTAGGTAATAAAATTTTGTTAAATATACTTAATAAATCACGAAATAAAGATTTTGCTGGTTCATAATTTACTGTTCCTAAATTATATTAATGATTTATATATTAAAATTTCTGTTTCTTTTTTTTTCATTTTACCATTTTCAATACATATACTTATTATATATTCAAACATAACAAACATAAGACAATCAAGTTTATCAGCTTGATCAAGTTTCATTCCTTTCGTATTATTATCATTTGTATCAAGTTGTTCAAGTGAAAAAACAAGTTCTGCTTCAATATTTGAATTTTCTTCACGAATTATATCTTGCCGAGAAGCATGAACCTTTGAAAGAGAAATATTTTAAGTTTTAAGAAAATTTGATTTTCTTTCTTTGTTTAATAAGAAACATACATCAAGACGAAGTAATTTCGAAAGAATTATTTCAAGAAAACGTGAACGTTGTATTGGTAAATAAGATAATGATCGGAGTAAATTTTTTACATAAGTTATTTGAACATTAATGTCTTTCGTCATAAATGGGAAGTGTTGTTCACCAACCGGACTTAAAAGAGTTGAAGCTCTGATAAAAAAAAATAAATCAATCAAAAAAATTTATCATAATTGAAAGAAAAAGCATACAGCGGAACGATAAGAACAAGATGTTGCAAAGTTTCATGAGCAAAATCATGAAGCGGAAGACGATTTATGGAAATTTCTAAATTGGAAAAAAAAATAAAGTAAATCTTACATTCTCAAAATTGACAGAAAACAATAAGTCCGAAGATTATTCCTTCTAACTTTAAGTATTCAATCAATTTGTGGGTCACCTCAAAATTGTCATGAATTCAAAAGTAAGATATTGAACATCAAATTTATGATGAATCAAAAGTGTTCATTAAGTGTAAATACCTCATTTGCATATCATATTGGGTACTCGAACATTTATCCAATACCTCAACAACGAATACTTGCTGATGTTTCATTAGTTAGTTTGTTGAAATAATTGGAATACAAAAGCATTTATAGCAAATTAATGTATAAATAGCAATCTCAAGTGTTTATTGGCTAATAAAGTTTATAGCCGAGAATTTTTTGTTTTGAGTACTTGGAACTAATAATAGAAATGTTGTCACTGTAAGGTCACTTGTTGAATAAAAATTTATGACGTCTATTCTAATTGTTAATAATGTCCTTGGCGTATGTTATGAAGTAAACTCTAGCCTTCATGGAGGTAGTTTTTCTAGACTAAAACCCTGTTTGAATCTATTCAAATAGTAGAATATATCGAATTGTTTATATTGTACCAACGGGAAAAGTTCTCAAATTGATAAATTGCCTTTTGAGTCGAGACCATGTACATTAGATAGACTCGAATGAGATATGAACCACCTGAAAAACGTCCGTATAGTTAGCTTATTTTTGCGGAGATAGTGAACATTTTCGGTATTTTTTTAAATAAATGCCGTGGCTCTTAGAGTCCATCGGATAGGTATTGGATCCGATGGTCTCTAGTAGTCCCCCTCAGGAATACTATAAAAACTGGTTTTCGAATTTCAACTTGAAACTCTGCATAGAGACAGATCTTAACATGAATAGTTTTGTTTTTTGAATGTTTCAAATCTTATTGCTGTTTCCATTCTAAGATACAACTATAGTAATAGCATGTCTTTTACATCACTCATATTAACCGGTAGATTCGATGTTCATATTTCAATAGAGAAATAGATAAAAAGACCTGAAAGTTCTATCGTGCAGGGCGGTCTCTGTACAAAGTTTGAAGTCAAAATTTGAAAATTAAGTTTTCTGTTATCATGATATTCATTTTAAAAAGTAGCGTAAAATTATAGTATCTCAGCGGCAATAAGCTAAAAACATGAACTCTATTCAGATTATTTATAGCTTATTTTTGGTCTACACAATACACATGGTCTCAACGCAAAAGAAATTTATGAGCTACGAGACTTTCCACCCAAGAGAAATCATTATAATCAAATGATCATGAATAACAAGCTTTCATTAGTCGTATTATTTTTTTATAAGAATAGATTTCTTTTTATATCTTGTTCAATAAATAATTTAAAATGCAAAAACTTCTTCTATTCTATTTACAATTTTCACAAAAATAAAAATTTTATCATGGGCAAAAAAAAATATTCGCAAGTTGAAACGATTGATTTTTAAGAAAATTTTATCTACCGGGGATTGTAAAAATAGTAAATAGAAAGCTTAAATAACGTTGTGCATGTTTAGTATTGCATGAAATAAGATTAATTTGAAATGCTCCGAATGTATCAAGTACAGTTTTTGATAATTTCATCCAATCGATTTGTAACTAAATAAATAAATAAATATCTATTTATAAAAATTCAAAAATTTCTACAAATACAACTTGTAGAAAATCCAGAAATTGTTCATTCTGATTTTCAAATAAATCAACATTATCACGTAATTCATCCAATAGATGAATAAACCATCCTTCCTTAAAAAATTAAATAAAGTATATTTAATTTAAAAAAGAACAACTATTTATTTATTTACATTTGTTTGATTTTCTTTAATAGTTGTTGTTAATGTATTATACAAGTATTTTTGACCCTAAAAAGAAATTTTTGTTCGTAATTAATAAAAACAAAACCTATTAACAGAATATACTCTATTAAATTGATTAAGAGCTTCTTTAACTTGATCAATTGTGATTGTCTGCAGCATTATAATATGTTCTCTATATTCTTGCTTGCAGTTGTGAATGAATGTAAGAAGTTCATTTTCATTCTTTTTTGCACTTATTTTTCAATGACTAATTTCATTTGCTATTGATAGTTTCTGGAAATAGCCTATGCTTGTCAATACATAGATGTCTCGCCTTTGACGTCGCTAGACAGAATTGAATATAGCAGATGATTTTCGTAATTTTGTTTTTTGAGAAATATTAACATTATCTCTAACATTAAGAAAAAAAATTATTCACAATTTATTGCATGAAAATATTTGATTTTCTTGTCAATAACTTTTTTTTACGTCATTCTCCCTACACAGTTCGTCAGGTCCAAAATTTTCAGATCCACTCACACTCTACTTGAATATTCTCAATGAAATTTTCTCACTAGAATAGGATAGGCGCTATCAAAGTATGAGATACATTTTTCTAGATTTTTTTTCCTATTCGGTGACTAGTGCACCCTATACCTTCCTCATACGACTAGAGCCCACCAATTTCAAAATTTTCGGCCCCCAATCAACTTCATGGCCTCCATGTTCTCTCTAAAAAAAAAGGCCAATTTTCGTCAGAAAAATCACAATTGAGATAAATGCATGAGAAAATAGTCTGAAGTCCTATCTTTCATAAACGACATCACATTCTTAGTTACCACCTTGTTTTTGGTTTTGCCAAAATTATTAATGATTTCCGTCACCTGCTACATGAAAAATATCTTGTTTTAAGAAAAAAACAGCAAATCTTTTTCTCTATTTATATTTTTCTGATCGTGCATCCCTGAATTCTCGAAAGAGCTTCATTGTTGCCAGTTGCTCTGTCTCTGCTGTTTGAAAGATCATATGAAGTTGTAGTGACTAATTTTTTTAATTAAGTATTGTTATTATTATATAAAAAGCATTTCTATAAATAGATGAACACTTTTCAAAATATTGAACTTGTCATCCTTTTCCAGTAAGAGTTGTAAAAAAATGGGCTCTGTTAGGCGTTTCTGTTCGACATGCTCTGTCGAATGAAAAGAATATTAAATTTATAGAATAATGGCTTGCAGAGATGTTTAGGTTGTCAAATGAGATTTTTTTAATCCTTATTAGTTGAATATCTCACGAAAACATTATGTCATAGGGCTGAAAATTTTAATATAGCCTTTCCACTACAGCCAGAACACATACTGAAGATTTTATGCGATTTGACTGTACCTAAATGAAGTCAATTTCTGAGAGGAGGGGAGCTTAAATAATGTTTTATTATTCCTCTTCAATTAAGTAGCACACTTATGTTTGAACATCTTTATTCATTCATTTTAAGGACCTTTTGTTTTATTTCATGAATAAGTGTCCAATATATTTATTGAAAATTTTCAATCAAAACTGGACTATCTTTATCTTTTGATAAATCCGAAGCAGACGTAATAAAAATACTAATCTACGCATATTCTTATTCAAATATTTAATATTCTTAGTAAATAATAGAATGATGTTTACTGCTTATTTCATCAAGAAACATGTTTAGTTTTGATCGATTTTGACACATATTCTTTGACATTCTATAAAGAATTCGCCGAAAATGAGAATTAAAATACGCAAAAAAAAAGAGGTGAAGTTCGAAAGTTTCTATGTCAATATCGGCGTATGGATATGACACTTCTGGAAAGGAAATGACTGTTAATGAGTCATGAAATAAACGAATTGGTTAGTATGACTATCCAATAACATGTTCGCTATTGCGAAAGGTCTTTCAAATGACATCATCATGAGGCAATGCTTGCTTTTTTTCCTTTTGTCAATCATTTGATCATTCAAGGACAATAAACAGTCCGATGAAATAAAAATTCTACTCTAAGGCGTCAAGTACGTAGATAGAGAAGATGAATGAGTGATCCACCTACTCTATCTTGACTCAGAAAATTACCATCATTATCAATCTTTATAAAACCTGTTTTATTATTCAAATAATATCGTATTTTTTTTTTGCACTTTAGTATTTTCAATCATGGAATCAAATGATGAAAATGAGTCATGCCATCAAACAAAACAAGATAAACAAGAACCTACCCACATGAAAACACAAATTGAACATTTATTCAATAAACTTTCTACAACAGAAGAAACGAATTCTACTGCAGTCAATAGAGTGAATATTACTAATAAACATGGTGAACTTATACATTTTAATCCCGATGATGTTAACGGAAAAGATGTTGCAATAGAAAATTTAGATCATTGTGAAATATTCATGAAAGGTATTCCATCATCATTACATATAAAAAATCTTCATGGTTGCGTTATAATTGTTGGTCCTTGTTCAAGATCAGTTGATATTGATGAATGTTATCAATGCGAATTTGCTTTAGCTTGTCAACAATTACGTGTACATACAAGTGAAGAATGTGACTTTTACATTCATATAACAGCAAAACCAATTATTGAAGATTGTCATCATTGTAGATTTGCTCCGTACAATGTTGAATATCAATCAAAACAAAATGATATTGCACAAAGTGGTCTTATTTGGGCAATAGACTATTGGAATGATGTTTTAGATTTTAATCATAAGATACCAAGTGTGCATTCACCTAATTGGGAAACAATTGAAGAAGAAGAACGAAAAGGATGGTCATTAGATATGCCATCGTCATTTTCTTAGGGAACAGTTAGATATTTTTTTTTTCTGTTTTTTTCTAAGAACTGTTAATAATTATATTCTTTTTAAGTAAACTGACTTTAAATTACTATTCGTTTTATATTATTTGTTTGTATTGAAGGAAAAAAGGGAAATATTTAAAGATAGGAAACTTAATAGGGGGATTATTTAGATAAAAAAAAAGCGTTTATCAGTAGTAACAATTATGCCATTTTTTGTTTCTATTCGTATCATATTTTTCATGTTTTGTTCGTACATTTGTAATATATTAATAAGGCATAGATCGAAAAGTTTTCTATATATATTTTTTTTTCTCGTATTTTCGCACACTGGCTATCTTCACGTTGTAAAACATTATGGAATGTTGTTAAAAATTCAGATTTGTACAGCAAATAGTTTTTTAGATAATAAGACATCGGTGAGATTTATATTACTGATAGTTGAAATTTTATTGCAGTTTTACGAGAAAAGTTTTGATTAAGATTTTCGGATCGAGAGTCTGTGTAAAACTACAATAAAAGTTTAATTGTAAGTCATTCAAATATTAGCGATATCGTATCTTCTAGCAAACGATTTGTTCTATAATTCTGCATATTCACAAAAAAAAAAAAAATTCTGTGCACTATTTCTTTTTATTTCTATAAAAAACATAACCGAATCTTTATTTTTCTTCTATGCTTAATAATAATGCTATTTTATTTGATTGTAAAGAAAATATTTTTTAAATCTATTTTGATTTTGAAATAAAATCTTACATATAAAAAAAGCTTGAACCGTGTATATTCCAGATGTTTTTAGACAAGCGATAAGTATATCATGAATGAGTGTCAACAATATATCGGTGATTATGATAAAGTGGCTATACTTGATGCTGGTTCACAATATGCTAAAGTAATTGATCGTCGTATACGTGAACTATCAGTTTATTCGGAACTTGTACCATTACAAATATCAGTTAATGAATTACTTTTACGTCAATATAAAGCGATTATTATTTCGGGTAGTCCAGGTTCAGTAAACGATCCTAATCCAGTTTATTATGATCCACAATTATTTGAATGTAATCTACCAATATTAGGTATTTGTTATGGATTACAAATGTTAATTAAACATCGTGGTGGTACTATTGTACGACAATCTGTACGAGAAGATGGTCAATTTCAAGTAGAACTTAATATAACAGAATGTCCTCTATTTAAAGATATGAAACCATTAGAAAATGTTTTATTAACACATGGAGATAGTATTGAACAACTTGGAGAAAATTTAATAGCTATTGGTACAAGTGAATCTTTTATTGTTGCATGTGCTGATAAAGAAAAACCTATTTATGGAGTTCAATTTCATCCGGAGGTAAACAAAATATACTAGTATATAATTTCGTTTATTAATAAACATTATGTTATTTTATAAAGAAAATTTAGCATGAAGATCACAAAGTAGTGATCAATTGTTTGAATGTGAATCTTTAATATTGAACTTAATACTGATTGAAACATTTATCTGTCCAGGAAAAAGAATTCTTAAGTTAAATCCCGTCGGATTCGATGGGATCATGCTAAATTTAGATTTGAATATTAGACATTGTTTGACTCCCCCCCCCTCATGTGATAACTACTTAAAAACTACCGTCAGTTTACCGCATGTTGTTTTTTGAAGGTGTTGGATTATGATGTATTGTATCAAAACGACTGAATATTTTTGAAATCTGTTAAAACTAACAGAATTGCGTCGTTTTCGATGATCTCGAATGAAGTTGATGCGTATGAGCTACCTGTACTAGCCATAGAACCCAAATCGGCCCCAGTGATGAGATAAATTTTTATTATAGATGGCGCAGCAAACCTTTTTATTTGTAAAATATATCAAGTAACTGTTTTCTTCTGGATTAATTTGAATTCTTCCTAACAAAATAATTCGAATTCGAGTAGAAAACATTCTCGGCAATCATTTATAGATGGAACCGACAGCCATAAGCACGCTGTCACCAGTGCTTATGAGTACCGCAGTATATACTGGTAGTAATGAGAACAAACATGTGATACGGACTCCTTGTTATTATCGCTATGTCCCTACCCTCCATCATTGCCTTACAAGTAGCTAAAAATGAATGGTTCAAGTATACTTCGTTTTAAATTATTATTACATTTAATTGTTGAGTAATAAATTTAAAGTGAAGAAACAAAATAGAACTAATAATTTATACTCACTTTTGATTGGCTTCATGCTTTAATGTCATTCGAAATAAAAATAAATAATTTATGCTTACTGTTCGTTGAATTGTATAGCTTCCATTCTTACCATAATCAGTCATTTAGGAACATGAATGTTTGACCTAAACTCATGGAAAATGCCTTTGCGCCATCATAGAAACTATTAAAAATATATTTCACATATTGCCTAATAATCACAAAAAGCAAAACCAAATACTTTAATGCCATCAGGTTTCATTGGATTCGACAAGTGTCGATTGTCGGGTTGTCCGGGAATCCTAAAATTCTAGATGGTGACTTCGAACTAAAATTGGTGATCGAACAATTTATCGCGGGTGTGTGAGTGTAAGTGTGGATCTTTTGTGTACTCTCACTGACTCTCTAACCCACCCAATTTCGATCCTTCTTCAAGATACTTTAATATGTCATGCAACGAATTATCATAGCACCATTCGTATGTTTAATATCGTGAAAAATTTGTTTTTTAATGTCTTATTAATCATTAGAATCATAATTATGTACTACCAGGTAGAATCTTTGTTCTATCAAAATTATCATTTCTATTCTTCGTGATTGAATAGAAATCATTTAGAATATATTAATACTGCTTTTTCATGCTTAATTCTCATATTAGTGCGAGCTTCATTCATTAAGTATAAATACGAGACGTTAGTATATATGGAAACTTCGATAAAATAATTTCCACAATGATTATTTAGCATTTTATTAATCATTTTCTTTTTGTTGATGTAGGTTGATCTAACAGACAATGGTATACAAGTATTCAAAAATTTTCTCTTTGAAATCGCTCATTGTCGAGCAACATTTACAATGGGTTGTCGAATACAGGATTCTTTTAGCACCATTCAATCATTTGTTAAAGATCAACCAGTTTTTGTCTTATGCAGTGGTGGTGTTGATAGTTCTGTTTGTGCTGCTTTATTAACTCGTGCTTTAGCATCTGAACAAGTAAAACTTGTTAGTATAGATAATGGATTTTTACGACAGAATGAAAGTAATGAAATTCGTGAAACTTTATCACAATTTGCAACTGTTAATTATATTGATGCTAGTCAACGGTTTTCTAAAGCAAAAACATATGTTCGAGTAAAAACAACATTATCACCGAATGAAAAAGCTTCCGTATCACAACGACGTCCATCGATATCAACAAATTTTTTAAGTTTATTCGATGCTGATATATTACTCGAAGAAACTTTACCATTAAATGAAGAAGTTGATCCTGAACATAAACGTAAAATTATTGGTGACACATTTATTAAAGTTGTACAAGAATTTTTGCGCGACAATAATTTTACATTTGATGATATTATTTTAGCACAAGGCACATTAAGACCTGATTTAATTGAAAGTGCATCTCATTTAGCATCACAAGGTGGTCATGCTGATGCTATTAAAACACATCATAATGATTCACCAATGGTACGTGAATTACGTAAACTTAATCGTGTTATTGAACCATTAAAAGATTTTCATAAAGATGAAGTAAGACAAATAGGTGTAACATTAGGTCTTCATCCTGATGTAATTTATCGTCATCCATTTCCTGGACCAGGTCTAGCTATACGAATTTTATGTACTGATGAATCATATATGCCTATTGAATATTTTTCACAAACATCATCATTATTAAGAACAATAATTAATTATTCAACAATGGTTGGAAAACAAAATGCTTTATTAGCAACATTAGATAAAGTTTTTACACAGAATGAACAGTTACTTTTGAAAAATCTTACATCATCTGATCAACATGATTATACATCTGTATTGTTACCCGTAAGTTTAATTAAACGAAATTTAATTTTGATTTGAAACCTAATCTGTTCTTTTTTGTTTTTGTCATAGATTCGAAGTGTTGGCGTACAAGGTGATGCTCGTACATATAGTTTTGCTGCAGCGATTAGTTCAAATGATGAAAAACCTAATTGGAATGAATTATTTATTCTTGCTCGAATGATTACTAAAGCTTGTCATCATATTAATCGAGTTGTTTATATTCTTGTAATTATTCCAATCTATTTCTTTTTTTCTTTTTCTCCTCTCTAAATATATTTTCTTTTAGGGTAAGAAAATTCTTGATTCTGAAATATCACAAGTTACACGTACAACATTAACACCAGATATTATTGATAAAGCTCGTGCTTGTGATTATCATGCTATGATAATTATGAAGAAATATGGTGCTTACAGTTCAATAAGTCAAATGCCAGTTGTATTAATACCGATAGAATTTGATAGAGAATGTACTAAAAAAATGAATGATAAAGGAGAAGAACAGATAATTCCGGACACAAATATTCAATCGATAACTCATAGTTGTCAACATTCAGTTGTTTTACGTACATTTCTTACTAAAGATTTCATGACTGGAAAATCAGCTTTACCTGGAGAAACATTTCCTGCTGAAATGTTAAATGATATATGTCAAACAATCAAAACGAATGTACCAGGTATAAGTCGAATTCTATATGATTTGACATCAAAACCACCAGGTAAAATATCAAACAAAAAAGATTTTATTTAATAAATTTCTTCTTCTAGCAACAACGGAATGGGAATGAAGATCTGCATTTAATTATATATGTTTTACCGTTTTTTTTAGTTTTATATACACATAACAAACCCTGCACCTTTTTTTTTTCTCCACCAAAGTAAGTTAACCTTTTTCTCTACTGCACTTTTCAGAAAAAGTAACTAGATATGAATGTCAGAGTGAATATATGTAGACATTTAATTAAACAATCATTATAATATTTATGCCTTTATTTTTGTAATGATTAGTTTTTTACCTATTTTTTTTACTAACGTTGTGTACGAATTTTCTTTTTAATTTAATAAAATAATAGAATGCACATAAAATTGAAGATGAGATTTTTTTTTGTTTTTGACTAGATTATAATAATTCTTTGCTAGATTAATATAGAATTTTGAATTAATAAGCATGATTTAATCATACATATGGGTTTTTTTTTCTTATTATAATATGGATATAAAGAAGCTTTTTTTTGCTGGCAAGCATTTACAGTTTCATTTTGACATGTCAATATTGTTTTATGGATCTGTCATACAAATTACTCAATTAGTTGCTTGTTTAATAGTATGTACTTGACAATAAAATGTGCTTACATGCAAAGAATTGTATCTATATATTATATGTTAAGAATGATTGGATAGAATGAATTTTGTTATCGTATTATTTATTGATAGTATTTGTCAAAGAATACATTTCTTTGTTCATTGTGTTTTACAATTTGCATTGGTTTTCACGAATTGATGTGATAGAGTAAAATATAGTTATCATGACTGTGAATTTAATGCATATTCATGTTCCTTTGTAACACTGATTTCAAATTGTTTAGCAGTATCATAGGTTGTTAACAGAAATATGAACATTGAGAATGGGGTGCCCACTCACTCCTCACTAGACTGCATCAGGTAGGTCGCAAGCTAAATGGGGTACGAAAACTTTGGACTCGACAAACTTCATAGTCCTCTGAGAACTTTGTAGGGTGCACTAGTGGTTGAATACAAAAAAAAATGGGAAAAAAGTGTTTCGTATCTTCAAGGCGACTATCCTATTCAGATTAGAAATTTTCATTGGAAGTATTAAAATACGGTTCGACTGGATTCAGGTCCGAAAATTTTGTGTTCAACGAACTACAATCCTCATTTTTAAATTTTACATGTACTTTTTTCAGCTCTCAAAAAGTTTCCTTACATTCAAATGATAATCATGAGTCATTAATGTTTGATGAATTTTCTGATTCAAGTTTTTTTTTCTCTTTTGCAAATAACTTTCAAGAGAATAAACATGTAGGGATAGATAAACAATTATTCATCACACCTTTATATAGGCTTATTAATATCATTGACATTTTTCTATTCATGTGAAGTATTTACCGATTTAGTATAGGAATATAAAAACATCATTATGTACTTATTTTAAGATTAATCGATACTCACCAACAACGGATTGGTAATCTGGCTTAGCGAGAGCGGTACCCAAGAAAGAATTTTTTAGAGAAAGATCACAATAAAACCACAGTTCTGATCAAATTTACTATACTATGTAAAACCTCAGCTAATCGCAATATGTAACACTGGATTTACATTTAATCATTTTTTTAAAACTGTAGTGTTGCTTCAGAAAACTAAGGTGAATTGAAAGCTGCAGTATTATTCATGGTTTTTCTGTGGGCAGACGAATTGCATAATCTTTTTTTTAAGCTATATTCAATAGCATCTATTATATGGATTGAGTGTGGATGAGTCTTGTCCTCGCCTAACATTCACACCCACACAAGCTTTCATGTCGTATTTCTAGTACACGAACATTATGACGTATTATTTTCTCTGACGAACAATAAAAACAATTTATGCAAATAAAATAATTATTTATTTAGTGTTGTAATATGATGATGTCATGTTCGGTAATTTAGTGCCAATACAATATTACATATGTCATGTTCACTTTCCTTATATTTATTTAGTAGACTCATAGAATAAACTAATGTTCTCGTAAAGATGTGACATCTATATTGAAATGATTCTCAGTTATATATATGCGAATTTTAAAATTTTATTGTTTATTAAAATCTAATTTTATGAAATAATGACTTTATTATATTTTGTATATTTCCTCCAATGTAATTAATTCACTAATGTCGATTGATCGATTATGTACATTACATTTACGTCTTGTCTACCTAATAATGTCGTCTTGTTTTTTGATATATTGTTGTTTATTTGTTTGTACCTTAAACGTACTACTGACTTGTATACCACAGAAGCTTTGTTTTCATTATCTATTAATAACAAATTAATTTTCTTTCTTTGTGTTTTTTTTCTTTATAGATCCTTATTTATTTTATTAATTATCCCTTGTCAGTTGTTGTTGTTGCTATCGTATACCCTCGATGGTTAATCTGTTCATATTACCTATACACATTCTCCACTATACATTTTCCATCGTCGATGAACACATATAAAAATTTAAATATTCATTTAATAAATAAAATTATAACAGTACATCAAAAACAACAATATCTTATTGTCGTTAATAAATTTAATTATAATCAATTACAGTTCAAATGGTGTTACCCCGTAAAACAAAACCAACTGGAATTCGACACGAATTAAATAATAGTACAAAAAAATCTAGGACGATAGCAACGAACAGTAAACAAAAACCACTTTATACAAAACGAAAAAAATTAACGAAAGTAATTAAAATAAAAAGAATTAATATGTATTTTGATTTTCTTATTTAGCGTGTGGATTTAAACGATCCATCAACAAATACAATAACTTTACGTCGAAGTCGGCGTTTAACGAATAAGAAAAAACAATTATCCAATTTATCTTGTGAATCAACTTCGAATTTAATTCTTCCTTCTTCTTCAAATTCTATTCCATCAAATTCAAATTCTATAACAAAAAATTATCCACTACGATCACGTTTACGACGAACATCATTGACAAGTAATAATCAGATAACAACAGCAACAACAAAAAATCGTCGTTCACGTATATCAAAACAACAAGATTTATTGTCAACATCATTATCATCGATGGGTCTTCGTAATGGTAAAATAGTTAATTTACGTTCCACTATATCAGGTACAACATCTCAAACAAACGAAGAACTAACAACATCAAATCTTCCATTACTTTCATTCAATCCATTACCACGTCAACATCATCAAACAAATAATTCAACATCTTATTCATTAACAAATTCATATAATAACAATAATAATAATAATAATAATAATAATAATAATAATAATGATTTAAATTTAACAATATGTCAATATCATTATTCAAATATTACAAATCATCCATCATTAGATCCAAGTAAATATTTTCCTGTTCGACTTGATATTCTCCTTGATCGACCACCTGTATCACGTGAAAAACAAATTGAATATGGATGGAATCATGATGATCGTTCAATGAATATATTTGTTAAACATAATGATCCATGTACTTTTCATCGACATGTAAATAAATAAAATTTTTTCTTGAAAAATCTTATTTTTATTTTTTCTTTGTTTTTTAGCCTGTAGCACAAAGTACAGATGCTGTTCGTTGTAAAAAAGGTTTTACTAGTGGTATTCATGTATGGGAAATTGAATGGTAATATAAGTTTTATATATGAGTTATTTCAGGCAAAACAGAACATACTCACATTTCATTTAACTTTAATTCTTTACAAGGATTATTTTTCTGAATAAGTTCTTTTAGCATAGAGAAATAAATCCGAAAAATAGAGATGTCAAAGGTAAACTTTTTTCCATAACCTGACTGATGAGAGAACATATCCAACTATCGGACGCTGTTGGGCTTTGCAATAAATGCTACGAATCAGTGATTCGCGTTCATGGACTACTGTTGAAGATTTACGGTTGTTTTAATGAAATTTTTAGTGAGGGGCAAGACTTTTTCGAAATATTCAAAAGAAAGAGTTCCAACGAAAACAAACATGTCTTTCTTGATATATTCGATTTCCAAGTAGACTCGATTACGATGTTTTCCAGTAGTAAACCGCTATGTTTATAGATATTGAGTATCTCGAGAAAGGCATGTTCATTTTCGTTGAAACTTTCAGGACTATCTAATAACTATCAAGCTTGTCTGTCTATAGACATAATTTCAGCTGAAAACTCTTTGTTTTAGGTTTCTCGAAAATACTCTAGTATTAGTAAAAATTTCATTAAAACAGCCATAACTCTTCAATAGTAGACCATGGATGCGAATCATTTTAATCTTTTCTTAGTCTCATAGAGACCTAATCGTAGTCTTAATACGAAGTTGAACAGCATTCGACAGTTGGATATATTCTCTCATATAAACTTTCTTACCTGTGTCCTGTGAAATATCTACCTAGTCAGGCACAATCGATCAAAACACATTTTCACGTGTTAAGATGGACTCTTATCTGACTCTCACTTAATGTTATCCTAATTGTGAGACTCTAAACATAATATATAGCATCATGGTAGAGATCTACAGAGTAAAGTTTCTTTGTATATCTCTATCCGAAAACTCTACGACACAAGCCATATCTATGATGAAATTTTCAGCAAGACCGGACTCGAAAAACATCGATTTTCTAGAGATTCTGTCAAGTTCCAGAACAAAAACTTTTCTCTTATCGTCATCTTGAGATCCGGAAGAAGGATTTTCACCTTTCGGAATCAGTTGTAAACTTTTCATTTGATTATCAAAGCCTTTGTTCGTTAGTATGTTCGTACTTCGTCACGTCACTAAGGAAAAGTAAATTGATTTTTTTTCGCAGTATACAGAGTAACTTAATACATAAGAATCAACTCTAGGAAAGTTCATCATCTCGAAACATGTTTTAATTTTTCAAAGTTATACTGTTAACAAATGATTTTACTCATATATATATTTTCAGGAACACAAGACAACGCGGGACACATGCTGTTGTAGGAGTTGGGACAATAAAAGCACCACTTCATTGTCCAGGTTATCAAGCACTTGTTGGAATGAATCAAGAATCATGGGGATGGGATTTAGGTCGAAATAAACTTTATCATAAAGGTGTTAATAGTGTTTATGCTTCAACACAGTATCCATCGTCAACAGTAACATCATCTAGTTCTCTATTATCTCCAACAACTACAACATTGACATTAACTGATCCAGCTGATGCTATTAACAATAATGGTATATCATATCCATCGAAATCGGATGAATGTTTTGTAGTACCCGATAAATTTTTTGTTGTTCTCGATCTCGAAGAAGGAACATTAGCTTATATTGTTGATGGACAATATTTAGGTGTAGCATTTAATGATCTTAAAGATAAGGGTGTACTTTATCCAATGGTTTCATCAGTATGGGGTCATTGTGAAATAACAATGCGTTATATTAATGGATTAGAACGTAAGTTAATAATAAAATTCTATTTAAAAATCGAAGATCTTTTATTTTATTATAGCTGAACCACTTCAATTAATGGATTCATGTCGACGTGTTATACGTAAAAGATTAGGTCGAACCAATCTACATATGATTAATTATTTGACATTACCTACGTCATTGCGTAATTATCTGGTCTATCAGTAGAACAATATTTTTTTTTCTGATTTCATTTTCTATTTAATTGTACAAGAGAGACAAAGATGATTGAGAAAGAAATTAATAATTTTTTTGTTTGGTTGACTGGTTTACTCTCTTTTCTATGCGTGTTTTGTTTTGCTCCCTTTTTTTTCTTTGAGATTGAAACAAATCATACACAAGTTTCACTTTTTTTTGTTGTTGTTGTTGTCTCACTACAGTTTTTTTTCTTTTTGATTTTTCTCTCTCTATTATTATTATTATTATTACTATTACTATTATTATTATACATACATACATTACTTAAACAGTGCTCTGTATCATAGAGATAGATTTTTTTCTTGTTTTTTTTTTCTTCTTTTGTTTATTCTTTCATTTCAACCCCACACACAAAAAAAGAAACATAAAACAGCATGATCACACTAAAATCATATAACATCTTTCTCTTTATATATGCGTGTTCTTTAATGTTTGATGTTTATTATATATGTCTGTGTGGTGAATTATCTGCTTCTTTTTCTTTCTTTCTACTATGCTGTAAAAGAGTGAGCTGTGAATTATGCCATTTTGTATATACATTAAAAAGAAAAAAAAAGACATTCAAACATAATTTATTGATATGGGTGTAGTTATACTTGCAGATTTTGTTTTAGTCTTTTTCTTTCTTTGCTAAATATGGAAACAAGTACATTTTACAATCAGACAAAGCAAGATTAAGAGAAAAAAAAAATTGATTATTCGATTATATTTTATTGCCTTTCTTTTTGTTTAATAGAAGGCGCTTACCACTTGCTAATATTGATGATAGTATAACAAGAAAACGTCCGAATTTTAATCGTCTATCATTAATAAAAATGGCACAAGCAACAAGGACATTTTGGACACAAGCTGAAGCACTTGAATTTATTAATGAACGACAAAAAAATGAAAATAATATTTATACAGGAAATAGAAAATAAACATATTTATTCGATATTGTTATATTTTGTTTTTATTAGGGTGAAATTTTATATTTATTCAGTTTTGAATCACAACCGGATGGAAGACGACGATATCAAGTTGCAGATATTGATGTTTTTATTCATGAATATTAGTAAGATTATTTCTTATTTTCATTATGATTATTTAAAATAATGATTTAGTCAACTACCTACTAATCAACGTCATACGTATGAAATTATTATCGATAGTAAAGAAAAAATAAAACCTAGATCAATAATTATGATATAAATTTCATTTTCTAGAAAAACCATCCAAACTCTATTTTGATCTTGAATATGATATTGCTGCTAATCCGAACATTAATGGATCTAAATTAACAACTAATTTCATACAGGTGTGAATATATATCATTAGTTATATATATATATATATTGCTACTCATAGAAAAATGACATATAAACTCTTTCCAGTTTGTACTCAATTTCATGCGAAAACGAAGTGATGATTTAAATTATTCTATGAAAGATGTACTCATTCTAGATTCGACGTAAGTATTTGGTAATGTGTAACATTGATAAAAAAAAATGTTTATATATTATAGATCTTCAGCAAAATTTAGTCGTCATTTAATTTTTCAAACAAAAGATCCATTCTTAGATAATCTTTCTGTTGGTAAATTTGCTGATCTCATCCTAGAAGATATTCATGGTTGCTTAATCAATCATCAATGTTCAGCAGTTCATAATATTTCATCATTTCAAAGTCAACAAACACAATCATATTCAGATTCATTAGTTTTTGCTAAAAATCTTCTTGTTACAATTGAATCATGTTTATTTCGATTTGAACAATGTAAATGTATTGATGATTATTCCCAACTTCGTTTTAAAGATATTATTGAATTTATTGTAAAAAAAAGTGATGGTAGTGGATTAACATGGTTTTGTGATATGAGTAATAGATACATTTAAATTTTTTTATATAATTATATAACACATATTTTCTTTTTGTCTTCTTCTTAGGTGTTTATACAAAAAATCGTGCATTTCGATTACTTCGTTCAAGTAAATTTGATAAACAAGAGTGTTTTACTGTTGCGCCTGAAAACGAATGGAGACCAAACATACGACGTTCTCATCCATATTCATCAAGTGAACCAAGTGAAGCTGAACGTCAAACATTTATGGCTTCATTAGTTTATTTCAATAAGTAAATAGAATAAAATTCTTTTATCTATAATAAAATTGTTAGTGCAATCCTTGTACCATTAAAATTAGGATAGGATATAAGGTACGAAAAAGTTTCACTCTCCAGAATTCTGATATCAACAACATCTGTGACGATCTCCAGCTGGCGCTTGTTACAGTCTGTGAGGAGAGATAGACCCAAATTTTTACCCTTATACTTCAATACTTCGTCTAGATCATGTTTTAGAAAATGATTTATTTTTTAGACCTATTCGACGTTTTATTTATGTTGATGATGTGAAAACCACTAGTACAAAATCTGTTATTTCACGTTCTCATCAATCATCATATGTAACAGAGGATCTACAAAAAGTGACATTAGATTATCCTGAACTTGTTAATTTTATGATGAATATAGCACGAGATAAAAAAGATGATGGTAATAATATTATTCGTATAAGTCGTTTATATAAAGCAAAAGAAGTTCAAAATGATTTTCGATGGGAAATTGGTTTTATGTATGTGGGTGATTATAAATATTGTGAACGAATTCAACGTCATCATAAAAATAATAATATCTAGTAAATTAAATATATATATTTGTTTTATTGAACTTTTAAAAACTTTCAATTTGTTGTATTTAGTTTTGTAGTTGATATGCGTAAAGGAACATATCGTCAAAAATGTCATGATACAGATTGTAAAGCTTTTCAAGGTATTGAGCAAATATTACCAATAAATGCAACACCTTGGTTAACAGTAGTCAATCAAGAATGGGATAATCAAAGTCCAAAATCAATGAAAGAAACACTCTAATAAAATTTAAAAAAAAAACGTGATAAATTTATTATTATTTCTTTTTTCTAATGTATAGTCTATATTGTACAGTATTTGTTTATTGATGATATTTTTTTCTTCAACATGATAAAGCTCACCGAAATTGAACTTACAGATTTTGTTTAATATATTCTAGATGTTATAAAAGTAATAAAATGCGATTTTCATTTATATTAAGAAGTTTAAAGAATGTTACGGAAGGTAAGATTTCAAAGTAAGGTGTTAATTACTTGAAAGGATTGAGATCAAAGAAGAAAATTGGTAAAACAACTCATAACACAAAATTACTGTTAAAAGTCATCTTCTTTCATTGAAACAGTTCAAATGAGTATTATGAGTGTTGGTAGACTTGAGCCATCAGTTTATCCATATTTTTATCGTTAAAATTTTAAAATGCGAGAATTGATTTGAAAAAATATCTTCAGAGTTTATTGTAACTTGTGAGAAAATATATGAGAACGATAGAAGAATTCTCAAATTAATACTAATGTTTTTTTTTCTTCTTATGATCTTTTTAGAGAGAATACCAAAAAAGAAACCTTATTGGTTAACAAAATCAAATTTAGAGATTCCTGGTAAATCTCGTGCTATTGTTGATGTTATTCAATCATATAAAGCTCGTGTTAATGAACCGGGTTTTTTAAAAAGAACAATTTTAATGCGTAATTATAAAAAACGAAATGAGTATGTCAAATACTCTTTAAGTTATTTCTTGATGTTTTTATTAAATTTATTAAAATGTAGATTTTCTGAAAAAGATTTTTTTGAACAAGGACCTGATGTTTATGCAGCATCTCGAACAATAGAATATGATGGTAGATTTCGTATGAGTGGTCGTCAAAAATGGATAACTAAATTAGAAAAACCAAAGGGTACATTAACACTTAATTTGAATTTTCAATTGGAAGCTATTGATCTTTCACAATCAGCTATTAATATTGATGGATTAGATCATTACGGTAGGTAAATATCGAGGTATGATTGTTATTTATTATAACATATATTCATAGATTTGTTTATTTATTTATTTTAGTTGGTTGTGCAAATATTAAAGGAATGTATTTGACTAAATGTTGTCATGTCGATGATTGGTTTCTATCGAGACTTGCTTATGAATTTCAAGATCAATTATTATTTCTTGATATAAGTGAATGTCCATCAGTTGGTGTTACTGGAATACTTGCACTTAGCCGTCTTAAGTATGTATTTATGTTTTTTTAAAAGTATTTATGTTAAAATTTATTTTTCGTTAGATCATTAAAAAAACTTCGTCTTTTCAATCTTCCACCTTTTGATGGTAAAGAAGCAGCGACAATGATCTTTGAAGAAAATGTACCCGGATGTTTAGTTGAAGGTGTTGATTATGAAAATGCAGTAATAGCAGGACTTTTAACGCCTGGTGACACACAACAACAAGACGAAGTAAAAATGATTGAGGAAGACAAGAATGGTCAAGAACATGTCGATAATAATACACGGCAGTCTGTTCGTCAGAACTAGAATTTAGTTTTGTTTTTTTATATATTCTAGGTCAATATTCAGCTTTTTTTTACTGTATTTAAAATTCGGTTAAAAAAAGGAATAAAAACAATTGTATCGTTTTGTGTTCAGTAGATCATATTTTCCCAAATGAGACTTTTGTTTTAATATTTGTTTATTTTGCAAGTATTTATAATTTCGTTTCTATAGATTGATGATTTTTTTTAATTATATAATGGAAGATAAGAATAATCTAAAGCAGAGATCCCAATGGATCAAGCGAAGTCATAGAAAGCCAGTCCATCGACCACTCATCTAATTGCTTTGAATAAATTTCTAACACATGTGAATAATTAAACATATTTAACAATTTTCAAAACTTTCAATTCAGATTCTTTTAGTTGGAAAAACAAATACTTTTTAACATCAAAGATGTGTTTTGCTTTATGATTGCTAATAACAGCATATATAGAGGATAATTGTTTCAAAAAAAAATTCTATCCGTACGGCTGTATCCTATTTTGTAGATAATAATGAAGTAGCAATGGGTAGTTAAAGATCATGTTGTAATTGTTGACGAACGAGTATAGAGCTCGTCAAGAACATGCTGCTGAATACAAAAAAAAAAAGTTTTTTAAGGTGAAGACAATATTATCTTTTGTTTTATACATTTGTTGTTCATTGCGGGAAAGTTTTAGTCGACGGAAGCATTATGTGGAACTTCTCAAAAAAACTAATTTACTAAAAATACGCAACATTTTTTGAAAGTTTTATTTCTGATACAAGATTCAGTCGATGGACCGGGCCAGACACCGATCCGGGTCATAGAGATATCTGATCTGGAGAGAGTGATGGAAGAATATGTGATTGATAATCATCGCTACAAATATTCAATCTTGTGACTTATTATCATGATTGTCTCGTCATTATATGTAGTTCGTAAGAATAGCAAATTGAGAAACAATCGGGTGCGATTTTGAATGAATGATATCCGTTGTACATGTACATAATATTGCCAATAAGTGTTAATCACCATAGGTGTCTCGTAACGTTGATACTGAACTAACAAAGGCTTTCGACACTGCTGACGAAGTAGAGTGAACTTTGTTTATCAATATGTTTACTAATACTACTCGCTCGGACAATTGTGGGAGATCATGGATGATGAATAGAACGCCACGTTAAACTGTATTCAGGTTGCTTCATATGTGGTATCCAAGCAAGACAGTGACAAATGTATTTATGACTTGTAACACAGTAAATAGAATGTGAACGGATTTGAATGATAAAAATGATGAATAGATATAAAGTTGTTCAATAACTGTATTAAAGAGCATTGTTGACAATGGAGAAACCTAAAGCAGAATAAACAAAATAAAGTGCAAGAAAATTGTACAATCTATCTTCTAAATCCCATTCGACATTCTTAATATATATGCATTTAATTGATCTTTACTGCTTTCTATTGTCAGATTGATGTCTACAAAGATATAATCGTACATCAAATTAATCTTTACTTTATGATATCTCTTAACTTCTTCAAATAAGGAAGAATCGATATCAATCATCAGTTCAATTTCGCTTCAAATATAAAATAAAGATATTCAGATTCGAGTCCTATAAAATATTACGACAACTTTCAACTGTTCTAGTTTATCTTCTATATTTTAGTTTATCATACTCCAGTAAAGTATCGTCCCATCCACAGCATTATAAAACAAAGTATAGCCTATTCTTTGACATATCAGATTCATCATATGATAATGATTCAGACTGCAATGTATAATTTTATGTATCCGAAAAGAAACAGACATTCTTAACAAAAATAAGAGATCAATAAAAATTTTTTCGATATCAAGAGTTATTTATAAATGGAAATAATGTAATGTTGCATAGACTGTTTGGTTAAAATATTCCCAGTGTGTTGTACAACGACCTTAACTTTAATACCAAAAAAAAAGAAATTCGGTGTTCAAATGAGTGAGTTTGAAACTCGTTTTATTTTCATACTCTATCAGCTTTCATGTTAACTCGTAATTATGCCATATCGTTATGTATATAATGCAAAAAAGATATTAGGTTTTCTCGGATGTTAACTACACTAGGGTAATCCAACCATTAATAATAATAATTAGGTTGTTTTTATCCTATTCATGTTTACAAAGTAAATAAAAAAGAAAAATGAAAATTAACTTTAATCTTGCTGACAAAATCAATGATTTGTTGGAGAACCCAATTGATGATAACGAGCAATGTTTGAGAATAATTTTGAATAGATCTTTCAAGTGAATCGTAGTGCCATTCGATGAGTGCATGTTTTAGCAACTCTGCATAGAAATGAAGCAAAGATAACTAAAAGAATGAACTTAATTTTAGTGTAAAACAAAATATCTATCGAAGTCCAGCTCCGGTGAAGTCAAAGAAAATTGGAGTCTCAAGCAGAGTTCAACTTCGATTAAGAAAAGCCTAACACATGTCGGACACTGATATCTATTATGCTTACGTTTGAAGAACGAACAAAAACCTAGACCAATGTTTTTTTTTTCACAAAAACGTAACAACACAAGTTTACAAAAGAAGCTATTTTCGTTTGAAGAATAAGAAAAAAGCAACAAAAACTCTTGTGCCAGCGTATTCATAACAAGTCAAACAATAGAATGCAACCACCTGTTCTAATCAAACAATAAAGTTTATGAATCGAAGAATGAAGCACAATGAAGAAAAGCAATAATTTTATATTCAACTGTTCGATAAAATTATTTAAGTCATCTCACATTTACAAATAAATAATATAATCAGATTGATGAATTCAAGTTGAATGAATAGATTCATATAACGGAATAAACAAATTTTAATCAACTCTGATGAAATAGTTAATGTCCGAATAAAATTTGAGTCATCAATATACGAAAGTCATATAAAAACTTTAAACATTAGAATAGAAAATACATATCAACTATAATATGCAAACATTCATAATTAAAACAAAACCAATAAACGAAAGTAACAATGATCATTGTTTTTTCTTTCATGTAAAAACTTTTCCCAAACATTAGAAATTGAATATCTGTAAGAAACGATGGTAATTTTCCACTCGGAACATTTTTTTAAAAAATTATTCATCCTTAGTTACAAAGAAATGAATCATTATGATAGGGAGGAGTGTTAATTTATCTTTACTCTATAAAATAAAGATGAATAAAAAGTAAAGAAAGATTTCTTTTTCTTATAGGTAAATAGACAAATAGTTAATATAACAATAGGATATTTTAATTAACATTCTTTCTTATGACTAACAACACTTCAATATATGATGTTGTTCAAAAATATTTTCTCGATACTTTTCTGTACTTATGATATTAAAATTTTTTTGTGAACTATTTGAAGAAAATGAAAGATTAGATTTTCATAGGAAAAAAAATCTTTGTTTTTTATTATATTAATTTATCTGTATTTTATTTATATTTATTTCTTTATTCTAATAAAACATTAAAGATAAATCAACATATTCCTAATGATAAATGAAAAAGTTTATTGTAAATATATTCGCATATTCAATAAATTATCTTTTCTTTAAAAACTTTCTTTTAACATTGATAGTTAATTTTAATGTTAATAACAATTCAAATATTACTTGACAATGACTCATTCAGTTATGAGTTTTATTTTAATACTAAATGTTTCTGGTTTTAAATGTTTATTTTATCGAAAAAAAAAAGATACATAAAAAGAAAATCATTTTTTTTTCTGTATGTTCCGACAATATGTTTCATTTGTTCATTTTCTTTTTGTTATTCTTATTTTTTTTAAAAAGTCAATGTGTCTGAAGAACTGTCACACTTCATACCAACGGAAATTAATTCTTCTTTTCCTCTAGATGAAAACAGATGTTGAACCACTCCTATCACTTTCTTGTTTCCTTTTCAATAGTACGTGCGTGACCATACTATGCTAAATAAGTGAAACGAGACGGAGACATTACTTACACATGCAGCTGTAGGCTGAATTAATCATCATCTATATATAGACTTCGTTACTTTTTTTTTTTAGTCACACACTGCCAATCTAAATCATATATTACACTCACAAGAAAGTATATTTTTCTCCGAAAAACTAAATCATATAATAAAAGATTTGTTGGTATGTACGTATGTAAATGGAACAAACTAGAAAACAATACACATGTGAAAATGTTTGACAAGATTTTAATTAAAGCCGGGATAGAAAGAAAACAAAACCAATATTGATTGTATTAGTTAAAAAAGAAGAAGAAGAAGAAGAAGAAATCAATTTATAAACGTTCTCTATATTGACGTAAAAATTCATTTAATACTGTTTTATTTGAATAAAATTCTCGTATATCTTGTCCATTTAATTGAAGATTAATATTTGTTTGTTTTGTTTGTTGAATAAGTAATGTTTCAATTGATTTAAGTGTACGATTCATATCTTCAAGTAACGCACGAATATCATTTGATTTTATATTATCATTATTTGTTAAACGACTTAATTTAACATCAGTTATTTTTCCATGAAATAATATATACGATATAAGAATAATTAGTAAAATAAAAAGAGCTATAGCAAATATTTTATCGGCTGTTATAAACGATGAAGGAGATAAACGACGAGTTTTCGTTGAAATTTTTTCTTCATCAAGAAGTGTTCGACGACTTTCAACCGGTTCTACTGGTGTTTGAATAGCAACAATACCATCTTTAGCTGCTACTGTTGTTCGTGTTGTTGTTGGATTAACAAAAGGAGGTACTGGTTGTTCGACAAATTGATTATCATTGCCCATATTGGACTAAATCTAAATATAATACATTGAAATAATCATTGGTGTTTTTCTCTAGCTATGTTATTGCATTACGCATATAGATAGACGAGAAGAAAATTTTCCTATTGGTTATTACTATTTTTTTTTCTCCTTCTTTCTCTGGCATCAAACATTTTTTTTCTCAGCAAGGATAACAAAATGAAGAAAAAAATAGTGCCGAGCTTCTTCTTCTTCTTCTTTTTTTCCTACTCCATTGTGTCACGTCTTCCTACTCAATACTAGATATGAAGTGACTAATCGGCATATATAAACGATATAAAAAAAAATGAGAAGAAAAGAAATAGTGATGCTCATACTAAGATAGACGAATCAAAGTTAATCGAATAAGTTGATCCTCATATGCACCTTCACTATTCATGTTTACTCGTCTTGACAATGATGAATGATGTATCGTCGTCGTCGTCTAACTTATACAAAAACTTAACCTTCGCAGCTTTTTTTTTCTTCTTCATCCGTTGTATTGATCTACAATGTGTTAGACGTATGGATTCAAATATTTGATTTAGATTGTTAGTATGCACACGTACACTTCAATTAAATTGTCGAGAAACGTGATGATGTTAGTCTATGATCGAACAAAGGTGATGTATAAGTGTATGTAAGAATTATTTGTTTTCTCTCTTTTCGATGTTTCGCCTCATTGATCATGTGTATATAGAAAAAAGTAAAAAAAAAAAGCCTTGCTCGAATGATTAATAGATGTATCATATTATACGTATAGAACAACTGATGTTGGTCAAGTGTTGAAGTATACATATAGTGTGCGAGAAAAAAAAACGATAAGCTTGAACTCAATATTGTTTAATTAGTAGATAATGATGTTGATGGACATAGCGTGATGTTATTTCATTTTTTTTTTTGGTTCGTTTTGTTACTCTTTGTCTATATCTTTAGGATAGAAGCCTGGATAGGCGTAAACTTGCTCACATTAGAAAAATGTTTTAATTTGAAGAATAATACAAAAAGAAAAATTTTCTTCCTCATTCTGATTAGAGCTTCAGGCTTTATATACGAATGGGCAATGCTAGTATGACTACAACAAAAGGAAATTGATTTTTTTTTTCATGTAATTTAAATGCTCCATGTGTCTTAGTTTCTCATCAATTCACATCAAGTCGAGTGAATGAACACTTAGTCACCAGTCGTTCTTTTCTTGTTGACATCAACTAGTCCAGCTGACGTACTTTCTCCATTTACACCTTTTTGGTTGACAAATTCTCTTTCTTTTTTTTTCTTTTTTAAAGTTGTTGTGATTTCCTTTAGTGCATGTCACAAAGATTTCTCCTCTGGATAAGACAGTACAGTTGTGATTGATTAGAATCTATAGACAATGAATGAATAGCCCCTCAGGCATAAGCGCATCTTGTTCTTCTTGTTTGACGTGTATGCATGCATATTTATTTCGAGGTGGTCAATGGTTAATTGCAATCAGGCAGTACACTTGCAACACATGTGCTATTCATTTTTTTTCCTTTTTTGTTAAGATTTGTTTGATCTTGTACGGCGCACGATATGCAGCAGCGGCGGAATCGACAATTTATTTCCGATTATTAGTCTCGTCATTGTTGTTTGTGTTCGTTCTCCCGTTGCGGACAAGTAAAATAATCAATGATCTGTTGCGATCTTGCTCTCTTGTGTTTAGTTGAAACACATGGGATAAAAAAAAAAGAGAATGTCCAAAGTTAATCACATCAAGCAAAGAGGAAGAGAACACTTGCCATATGATGGAAATAAAGATAAGAAAACCTCATCAATCAACAGTGATATTGTTTTTTAGCCATATTTATGCTCATCAATGTTACTTGATAATACATCTGGTTTCATTTATATATGAAAGACGTTATTGTTCATTGAACTTTAGGAAAATTTTATTTTTATTTATATATTCAAAATAGATAAAATTGTTGTTCACTAATTTTTAATATGAAAAGGAATATTACTGGATTAGAAGTGAATTATTATTCATTGATTTTACAAATAATAGATAGTTAATAAAACAAATTCTTTGTTCAATTAATATAAAATTTGAAAAAAAATTCTAAATTAATGAAATTTGATATCATATACAAAAAAAACGTAACATAGAATATATCCTCAATTGCTAAAATGTTTTAATAGAATCAGTTTCTTTTATCGACATGAATGGAGACCATTATTAAGCTACTCATTTTATGTTTCTGATCTTATCATTCAGCATTTATGTATAATGTCGTGAATAAACTATACAAGTCTAAATGAATGTGATTGATCATTAAAATGTTTTCTACAACTTTAACAATTTGCATCGTATTAAATATGATGTACAAGTACCGATTGGAAAGATACTGAAGTGAAGATGTAGAAACAGTTGTTATTCAATGAACTACAGCTGTGAGATTGTTTGATATTGTTAATATATCCAACAAGAATTCGATTCTTTTTTTTTCAGATAATAAATCTATCAACTAATCAGATTTAACTATGACATCGGTTTTGAAAAAATGATTGTTCATATACAATGAATCTCTTTCGTTTCAAAATATTTTATTCATTAATCGAAATAGCTATATAGCAAGATGATCATAAGAAATATATACATGTCCTAAATACCAAAACCATTTCGTCTAATATGAAGTTTTTCGGATAATTAAAAAACTTATGATTGATAGATACGAAACATTGCATGTGATAGCAGAAGCGACTTATAACATTTTTCTTTTCGGATTTGTCATTTTCAAGACAATGTTTTAGTCCGAATAATTAATACACAGTAACATATTTTAGATTATCAAATAATGCAGATTTCTTTATAAATTACTCAGGGATTACTGATAATTCAATCAAAAACAAAAGTAATAAAGATTAAAAAAACACATCTTTTCGAATCAACTTTATATTTATTTGCATCTATATGTGACTTTTTTGTGTAAGATGGCATCAGTAATTGAAAACCTAGTAAAAAATCGCCATTAGCTCTGATTTTCTTATTATTGACCGTCAATAAATTACTATCGAATCATGATAGAGTGATTGCTTAGCACTTGAAAACCAATTGTAGTAAATGTAAAGTCTATTAATAGTTGAACAAGAATACAAATGAATATGAAATTACTCCTATCATTCGATCAGAATTATGGCAATAAGAATATCTACAGCTAATGTTATTCATGCCACTGTTTCTTCAAATATTATTTTAAAAAAAGTCTATTGTAAGAATAATAGATACAATGTTGAACTATAAATTTTCTTGCATTTTTATGACCACTTTAAGTCTTCTCGTTTAAAGTGATTAGAAAGATATGCAGGGTAAGATAAAGAGAAAACAAGAGTTGCAACGATAGTTAAAATGGATTGCAAATCTTAAGCGAAATAAAATGCTTTCAATTGTGTCAATTTAATAGAATGCCCTGATGAAACAAGTATGTCACCTACAAACTTGTACAATATTATTACGAAGCTCTTATTATTCGATAAATGTTTTAAGTACAAATTTCTAATTAATAATATACACACAGGTAATGTGTTTCAACCAAGCTTGCAAAAACTCATTTATTGTTTCATTTTTTCAAAAAATCTAAAAGCAGTTCACAATAATTTGTAAAAAAAAGTGTACTTTCAATCACAGGTTAGACAAGTAAAATATTGCGATACTTATTTTTTGGATCAGTTTACGTGGAAAATTTCGATTCATTGTATTGTCCCGATACATGTTCTATCTTTGATGAAAATGGCCAATACAAATATGCCCATGTGCTTCGTAAAATCAAGTGCTAAGAGTATAAATCGAAATTTAAGAAAAAAAAAAAGAAAATTAAAGCCTTTAAGACATTTTCTCTATTTCTTCATAATGAAATTTGATAGTAAATCGAAAACAATTGTATACTATATAAATTCATTAAATTTTCTTCATATAAATCAGACATTTTTCCATTTGCATTAGTTGCAGGACAATGTATTGGACTACTATTTTGTTTATTGGTTTTTTGCCCATTGTTTCATCAGTTGGCCAGTTTGGACAATGTGGTGGTGAAGGATATGTAGGACCAACAGAATGTGATTGGCCATTACAATGCTTTCGACGATCTGTTTGGTTTTCATCATGTCAAACATCATGTCCAGGTCTTGATTGGGAATGTGCTTCATCTGGAAGTTATCTCGGAGGAAGTGTAGATGATGCTGGTGCACCGAACTGGGAACAATGTGGTGGAGAAGGTTGGAATGGAGCAACTTGGTGTCTTGATTATCCTTGTGAACCTCGTTCACAATGGTATTCTCAATGTCGACCAGATTGTCCACCTGAATGGCTATGTTCGGAAATTCCAGATGAAGAAATTCCGGAAGAAGATGTAGAAGACTTAGAATTATACGATACAGACGATATTGAAGAAGAAGAAACTGAGACTGATGAATTTCCTGATCCTTCAACAGTTGACTTAGATGCACTTCAACAAAAAGAACAGGCACTACTTGGAGAAGTTGATATGGAAAAAGATCCTTTTGCTGATGCAGAAGATGGAGAAGAATTTACAATAGGACGACGACGACGACGAAACATAGGTTAGAGAATTTTGATTTTATAAAATTTAAGATAGATAAATTCGTTTGACTATTATTCTGAATAATGAACTTTTAAGTACTAAGTATTAAGATTTGGTTTTAAACAGTGGTTCGAAATAATGGTAAATCATTATTACTTTTGATAATTATCAATTGAGTTTTATAACTTGTTAAGCCTTCTAGAATATTTAAATCAAAACATATGGTCGCATCAGTTTAATACACACAGTCGATATTTATTTTTACATTGATGATTTTTCGCATCTGTGACAGCTGTTCTCCTAGATAGATAGCCCAGCGATATTTCATCTGTAACGGGACTTAATTAGAACTTTTAGAAATAAAAAGCAAATAAGAAGCTTATTGAAATGAAATTAAACATTGTTAATTCCAATGTTATGAGAGTTAGTGCCATGTGGAAGCAACTGTCCGGGATCCACTATTCGTATTATCAGATTTTTCCACAAGAGCTTTATTCCAAGAAAAAGACTTTGCTTTGATTTTAAAGTGTTTTAACCTTCGCGATACAGTATGATTCACTATAAACTTGACTAGAATCTTTCGCAAGAAATACTAATAAAATTTATAAAAGAAGTATACCGATCGACCTAACAAGTTTTCACTAATATTATTTTTTAAATTTACAATATGCTTTTTTTTTATCAAGCATCTTCTGCAACTCGTATGCATAAATGGATTTGTTTATTTTAGTACGGGCAGCATCTTGTAAAGCTAATGGAAAGAGTGGAACATGTATATCAACATCATCTTGTAAAGGTACATCTGTACGTGGACATTGTCCTGGTGCAGCAAATATTCAATGTTGTATTCCCAAAAGTAGCGGTGGAAGTAGCAAACCTCGTGGTGGCGTTTGTGGAAGTTATGCCGGTGCTGCTGTTCGAACAATCAAGGGCAATGGAAATAAAGCTTATTCAGTAGTCAAAATTAAACAAACACATCTTGCCAATCCAGGCTCATATTCACTATCACCAACATCATCGGATAACACGATGACAACTTCAACGGCTTGTGCTTTTGATAAAATGGCTGTAGCAGCTAGAAAAGCTGGTGTATCAATAAAAATTGCTTCAGGTTTTCGTACTATTTCTCGACAACAATATTTCTGGAATTGTTATGTATCAAAAAGATGCAACAGCGGTAATTTAGCTGCTCGACCTGGAACATCAAATCATGGTAAAGGTATTGCTTTGGATTTGAATACTAATTGTGGCAAACAAACACGTGCTAGACCAAATTGTGGTGGAAGTCGAGTCTATCAATGGTTATACAAAAATGCTCATAAATTCGGATTTACTCGTACAGTTAAATCAGAACCATGGCATTGGGGATTTCGTGGAGCCGGTGTTGGTCGTGCTAGCTTTTCATAATTTGTAATAAAATATGACATTATGTCAGAATTATTAAATATATTTTGAATGATAAAAGCTCTTGCACAATAAAAAAGAAAATTTCAATCGATTTCTATGTTACACTCATGAAAAAATGATCTTGCAATAGATATTTATTCTATTCATTCTGAGAAATATAAATGATAATCAATAGAAAATTTTAACAGAAAGTATAATGTGAAATATGTCAACGTAGATATTTAGATGACAATAAAATATTACTATTTAAAAAATCATCAATTTCTGACAAGTATCCATGTGCTTATTTTCATTACATTTCATTGAACTTAATTATTAAGCATAAATTTTGTTTATTAGTTGGATTTTGATTTTCTTGCTATGTCAAAGATGAACTTGCAGAAGTTATTTGATCGGTTTCTCATAGGCGAAAAAGAAATAACCAATTTCTGAATTATAATTTTCAACAATATGTTTTAACATCATCTGAAGACTACTATTTTTTTTTTCCATATTAATAAATATTGATTCACAAAACACCGATGATAATGTCATATGACTAGTTAACATATATGTATGGTTTGTAGCTGCTCATACTCTTTAAAATTTTATTTGAAATTACATCTAGTTTTGATCATATTTTTTCTATGAAATCAATTTTGTTTGTTAAAATTTACTTCTATTGTAAATATAAGTAAAACCATTATTATAGATGCCATAATATCAAAAATAGGTGTTTCATTTTGTATTGATTTTATTAGAGAAAGCTGATTTCTCTGCAAGAAAAAACAGTAATTAAGACTGAACGAATCGTATACAAAATATTTACTTCACCCAGGTCAAAAAATCGGACATAAGATCTTGTTGATCATACGAAATCTTGCAAAAATCGTACAAAAAATAGTGGTCCATGCAATCTTATACTAAGTCGTACTATAAGAACCATCAAAGATCTTACTGTCACATAAGATTTCCTATAATCTTATAGTAAAATCTTCCCGAACAACAAGATCTTTGATGGATCTTATAGTACGACTTAGTATAAGATTGCATGAACCACGATTTTTTGTACGATTTTCGTCTGATCTTACAAGATCATATAAGATCAGACGTAGGATCTTATAAGATCTTACTGTCTAATTTGTCGACTTGGGCAGCTATGTTATAAATTTGAATTCTTGATATCAGGTAAAATTTCTTCATTGTTCATTCATAATTCCATATTGTTTTTTAGCATTTTATGATTGTTATCAATGCATAAAAGATATGAGGCACTATTTCTTTGGGTTTATATATAAATAACATGCAGAAGGGTTTGGATACAAATTGCACCCACTCGTAAAGTGAGAATATAAATTTCATATTTCAGCTGTATAATGAAACAAAATCTATCATAGGTTAGTAATTAATTGAATTGCCGGTTGTATTTTAAACGAATATTTGCTTTTAGATTTTGTTTTCACTAGGTCGGTATCCACCTATCTTCCCTATTAAATTTCTAATCTTTTACCCTCATTTAGTTATTAAAAAAAAGTGAAAATTGATATAAAAACAAAAATAACATGAAACCTATATAAATCTGACTCTCCATATGGATATTATACAATTCATTTTTTGCTTCACATCAATCTGAAAGCCATGATATTAGCAGTTGCTTATTTGCTTGTCTTTGGACCTGTGATTGCATTAGCACAAACAGCATGTACAGCTCAAAATGCAAAAGGAACTTGCATTTCAACTGCTTCATNAATTTTTAAAATCTGACTTCAGATTCAGATTCCGCGACCCCGATTTACTTTCGCCAACCTTTATAGAAAATCATTATTTTCTCAAAAAATCCTTTCCTTAACCCAAAAACCTAAGTTCAAAATTTTAAAATCTGACTTCAGCTTCGGATTCCCCGACCCCGATTTGCTTTCGCCAACCTTTATAAAAAATCATTATTTTCTCAAGAAAATCTTTCCTTAACTCAGAAAAGTGCAAAGCAATTTTCATTTAAGTATCTCTATAATAGGTGACTTAGCCTTCTTGTTTCTTTATGTTTTATATACCATTTTGTAGCTCTTGAAATTCTCTATCGAATGGTATATAATAGTTGGGGTTTTAATTGACTACGATAGGAAAAGTCTTTTACGAAAGCAGTGATGGGTCGATTTTTCCATAGGAAGCTATAGGGAAAAATGGGTATTTTTGCAATAACTCAGGAACAGCTCGGCCAATCCTTTTCATCTTCGAACTCGACCGAGATATTCTAAAGACTGAACTGTGCAGAAAAGTTCATCGTGATCGGACTGTTCTTTCGAAAGTTATCGTGTAAACGGTCGGCCGGACGGCCGGACATACTGACCGCTTCTAGAGTGTACTCACTTTTTGAGTACGCAATAAAAAAAACAAAAAAAGACTTTGAAATTCATTAAAAAAATCATCAAACCTATAATTAGATTTAAAAGAATTAATACACAGAAAGATACCAAGATTATAGTAGAGTTATGAAAGGTCTTTCAAGCAATGAAATTTGGCGTAAGGATATCTTTCGTAGAGCACAGAATCCTTTCTTGACATTATAGGTCTCTTGGTCAGCAGATTTTATGCAATTATGATAACAACCGTAAATAATGTATCTTTTTTGATTTTGGGAATGTGGGTGTGGGTGTGGATGTCGGTGTGGGTGTGTGGATGTCAGTGTGTGGGTGCGCGATGATTCTTGTATTTATCTACACGGACACCCACACCCTTTAGAATTCGCTCTATATGTCTATGCAGATTCTTTGTTTTGAAAGCTTCAGTGTCTAGAAACACTTGAATCTAAGGTAATAAGTAACTAACGAATTAATAAGATTTCATTTGATTATATGAACTGATGAAGTTTATAGAAGTAAAATATTTACTCGCTCTTCTTAATGTCGAAAGTAAAGGACAAATGTTTGACATAGTTGATTCATTTCAAATATTACTTATTACATTTGCGAAAAGAATCATCGATGAGTGCTATGTCGTAACAATTTTTATCTATCTATCAATGAAATGAAACTCTTACTACAGTGTAAAAAAAAAGGTTCTTTACCGAATCCTCGAAAAAGGTTCCGTAGATTTGAAAAAGCTTGCAAATGCATTCAAATGCTCAAAACACGATTTTTCAGTTCTACGAAACCTTTAAAGGTTCTTCCCCTGGACACACGGAAAGAGCCTTTTTCCTGCGAAACCTTTTTTTAAGTTCCCTACAGCAAAAAAAGGTTTTGTAAAAAAAATACGAAACCTTTAAAGTTTCGTATTAAATTATACTGGTTTAGTGCGAAACCATTAGTGTTTAGTAAAAAGCCGTTATAATTTAATACCAAACCTTAAATGTTTCGTATTTTTTTTCCAAAACCTTTTTTTGCTGTACGGAACTTAAAAAAAGGTTTCGCATGAAAAAGGCTCTTCCCGTGTGTCCAGGAGAAGAACCTTTAAAGGTTTCATAGAGCTGAAAAATTGTTTTTTGAGCATTTGAATGCATTTGCAGGCTTTTTCAAAACTACGGAACCTTTTTCGAGGGTTCGGTAAAAAACCTTTTTTTTTTACAGTGTAGTGATACAGATAAAGGAATAATCCGTGGAATGCATGAGAAAAAGAGAAATGAAATGAATAGAAAATGACGGGAACGTCAATAGAAATAATTCATGATTATTGTTGTTATTATTATGGTGTCTGTTTTAATTGTATTTGAAGAATAAAGGTTTATTAGAACAAAATGGCTGTTCTAAAACTTCTCGTTGAATGTTGACGCATTTAAATCTACAATTACTTTGTTATTCTCAGAATTTCTGATGTTTCGGGGGTAGCGCTAACGAATTTTAATAAACATAATATTTCCATTGAAATTTTCAATCGTCATGTGTAACACATTTATTATTCACAAGGTAATATTCTGTTATCGAGAACAAAACAAGAAAAACAACTCTTTTTCTATTCTCATATGTAAAATACGTAATAAGTACAATAATATTTGGTAGTGTTCATATTCGACATATTTTTACTCTTAAAATCAAGGTATAATAAAAGAGTTTGACTGTTGATTTTCAATTCATAATGTAGTAACCTTTATTAAAAATTCGTATGAATTCTGAAAGGCATTATGAACATTATCCAACGTTGCGATAAATGGTGTTTGAGCATCACTGGCATTATCATTCATTTCTGTAATTAGCTTGCTCATGAAGAAATGAAGTGCTCTTGGTGTTGGAATTCTATCGATGATTTCAGCATTTTTCTTGTTACCATAGTTTACAAGTGTTTTAAAATCTGAAAACGATTTACATCGCGATGATGATGCATTTTTATTCATTTCTTGAAGAACATAATCAGCATAATTAAATAAGGATTTCGTATTCCACCGTATTGTAAGTATCGGAAATTTATCCCTTTGAATAATAGTATCTTCAATATTAATACCATTCAGTTTACGATAAAATATTGATAAATAAAAATTATGAGCCATAACCATTGCGATAATCTCTTGGGCTAATGTAGAATTACAAAATAATTCTAATGATTTTTTATTGACTTGATTCTTCACAAAAAAGAATCGATTTTCATCAATACCATCGGTGATAGATACTGGAGTTCTTCTAACATGATTTTTCATAAACAGTGCAAAATGTCTCAAGTCGTTAAATACATTACTAGACGTTGTTATTTCCAATGCTTTCACTACAAAACCTTCACCTTCAACAACTTCAAATAATAGAAGCAGTTTGTCATCAACTGGTCTAACAGCACTAAGGTTTTTTATATCATTTTTGAAGTGAGCAAAAAGGGGTTTAAAGTGGAAAACATTGTGCTCTTTAAGTTGTGCTTCTGTGTTATTTGTAATATACATTGTATCGTTTGTTTTCTCCAGAAAATAATTAACAAATTTTTCTAATTTCTTCACATGTTGTTGATTATAATAATAACATATGATAGTTATTAATTCAATTTTTTCATCAAGTGAAAGATCTGGAATATTCCATTCTTCTTTTTCAAATGTGTCAACAAATTGTGTAACTAGTAGAGAGATAAGTAGTTGACCAAATTCATTTTTTGACCATTTCATGATGCAATTATTCATATCACAATCTGTTCTACTCATTGCTGTTTCTTTTACAAATCTCTCTAAATATTCACTAATTTCTTTGTTTAAAATTAATACTTTGAAATAATTATTGGATTGTAATGATTTGAAATATTCACATCTTAATAGTGTTTTACCAGTTCCATATGATGTTAATATTAAAAATGAACTTGGTAAATGATCTGGTTTTAATATGGTTTGTGGTAATGCTGGTTTAAATATAATACTTGAATCGCATTCATCAGCACTTGTTATTGTAAAATGATTTTTAAAATTAACAATACCATAATATTCGTTAAAATCTCGATTTTCCGCTTTCTTCATATTACATGCATCAAGTGAAGGAAAAAACCCATACTTAATAAGAATCGCAATGATTGAAACAAAAATTGAAAGAATTATAACTTTAATTTTAATTGGTTGAGACGTATTTGTTCCTGATTCAGGATTGATGCTCGTTGAAGGAATTTGTTGGTCTTGTGAAAGATTAGCCTTAGGGATTGAAGGAAAGCTGTTTCTTTTCTTATCATCGAGCTTTACTTCTTGATCACTAATGATGGATGTTGTGTTACCGCATGCGACGTCTTCACTTTGCCGACAGATGATTTCAATATTGACTGGATTACCTGTATTGTCTTTACCAGGTGAAGTCCCATCATCGACTCCTGAATTATTTCCTGCAGGTCTCACTTTTGAACTATTTGTGCTACTCATGAATTTTGGCTTACGTTAACTTTGGTCTGTGTTGTGAATATTATTATTATTATGACTTTGAAATGAATGAAAATTTTTATGATCGCTCTCTTTTTCTCTGATACACACACTATGGCTGAGTTTTTAAAGGAACATTCTTGTCTCCCCTTTTGATTCAGTTACGCCTAGATAAAAGGCAAGTCAACCCTCTTATCAATGTTATTCTACAAGCAACCAACTATTTGCTGCTTGCTCATCATATCTTGGTTTTGCTAATGCCTCATTTTGGGTTTGGGTGTGTGGGTGTGGGTGGCGGTGCGGGTGGCTGTGTGTGGATAAAGAGACGATCCACATCTTCACCCACCCACACCCACACCCACACCCCACACCCTTACATTACCAAAAATGTTTAAAAAAAATCGATGAGTAACTTTGCTATATTTGTTTTATCAACATACCATAATTCAACAAATAAAATTTTATATGAAAACGATGAAACTAGCTGTTTATTTTGAATCAAGCTCCATTTCAATACCGAAGATAGTCAATTATTTCGTCATAATTCTTCTATCTCTTTTCACCAAATACATTCAATATTAAATCCGATGAAAAGCGTTCTCTTTTTAATGTGACATTATGCAAATTACGAAAACATCGCTCTAAATCAATTCGTCTACATGATTGTATGCTTAAGAGACTTCAAAATAAATATCCTTGAAGATTTTTTGGATCTATGTGGGTGTGTGTCAAGAGTAGACGTGCGCTTTCACTCACACTCTAGTAATGCTTGTCCTGGGTATGTTCAACAAGTACGGATAAGCCGTTTTTCCATGAACCCTCATTATCTAGAGGCAGATATATTTTCTCCAGAGATTAATTATAAGTTAGCCTAAATGATACATGGAGGACAAAGCCTTACTGAGTGTCACACCCTCATATGACTTTACTATCACATTAAAAATATATATTTATTCATAATTAGAAAATTTCTCTCTGAAAATTTGTTTTCTGGATTTGCACATGTAAAAATATCATTTTTAATGTTGGTTAGCGTAGGTTGTGAGTGAGTGTAGTTGTTCGTATCTCTTGTCACATCCAACCCCGTCCATACATCTACACCACACTCAGACCGAGACCAATATCCCACACCCACACCCCAAAATCTAATACAGTACTACCTGTATTATCAACAAATGGAAAAGATAATAGTAGAGATTGAGCAGCTATTCAGGTGTAACTAATCGGAACTTATTCATTACCTGATCCATCTGAATGTAATTCCTATTATATTAATGTGACGAATATCTTCAAACACGATTCAATTGTACTGAAGAAGAAGTTTTTTGATAATGAAAAACGTGAATCTAATGAATATGAACGCGTTTTTTTTATAGAAAAAGATAAATTGATTTAAATGATAAAAATCAATTGTAAATTAATTGACTAATATCATTAATGGTTTTCTCTAGAACCATCAAATGGATAGCAATGAACGTAATGGTCATATCTATTATCGATGTGTATTGCAAAATAAAATGCGTCAAGCTAAATATCTTAGTACTTCCATGTAAAAAAAAAAGAATCGAAACTATTCAGATTAAAATCGATTACACTAAAATAATCACGAAAAATCGATTAAATTAGATCTAATAACTGATTTTATCCCCAGAAACCTAAAGATCGATTTTATCGATAATGTGCACATGTATAGAACAATCAGAAAAATTAGATGAAAATCAATTTTTCTGAAATAATCGAAAAGAACCGATTAAAGTGACTATTTTCAATTAATATGGATGTAATAATTGATTTTAATCACTCTTATATGGCAGAAATCAATGATAATCGATTTTTTCCCTAGATATTGGAATAATGAATTAGAAAATCATTGGATTTTAATCATATTGATGCAAAAAAAGATTTATAAAGATCAGATTAAATATAACTATATCTGATAAAATTTCACACAAAAACTAATGAAAATCGATTTTATTTCTCAAAAATCAGTTTTAATCGACTAAGACCAATTTTTTTCCAAGAAATCACCATAATGGATTAAAAATCTGTTGGATTTAAATCGATTCTTAGTGTTATTGCACCATCTGAATTTTGAAACAATTTATATAGGAGTTCCAACTTCTATTCGATCGTTTGATTTTAGTGCAGTGGTAAGCCCATAGTTTCTTAATGAGAAAAATCTAAAAAATCGTGGAAAAATTAGAGCTTCCTGTTCGAGTCTCATGAAGAGCGCTTATCGTCACTATCTATGAATATCGATTAAAATTCGATTTTTTTTACGTGAGTTATCATCAATTTAGCAGTTATATAGGAACATATGATTCATTTGTTCCTGGAGGTGTTGCAACGAAAAGCACGCATTACTCAATACTTGTACACTAAATGAGCCTTATTCCCATTTCGATTTTTGGTCATGAACATGCATAAAAGTGGCCACACAATAAATTATGTGTTATTGGGGACGGTCTCTTTTCTTTTACCTCTCTTTATGAATTGTCTTCGTTGTTTAAACGGTTAGTTCTCGTTTCGTCGAAAATCATCCTCACCCGCACCCTCACCGACTTTGATGTGCTTTGAAGTATATTATTTAAACTTGTTAATTTTCGACGAAACGAGGATACTCCCTTTCATTATCACATATAAGGCAAAAATAAACTAATCAATATACTTGAAAGGAGAATCTTGAAAGTTTAGTTAGTAAATCTATTGTTTTTCGAAGATTTGATTTTTGTGTAGCAACAATGTTTCTATGAAAAAAATTGATGATGAATAGCGATTGTTATTTTTATAGATTAAATCATTCATGATACTAAATTCATGCACCTAAAAATATAAAATATTATGGGGACAGCACACTTATGATTAATATAATATTGATTAGTTTATTTTTGCCTTACATGTGATGATGAAAGATAAGTATTAACGTAACTCTTGTCTTTCGATAAACACATTTCTTCTGGAAAGTAAAAAAAGAAACAATCAAAGAAAAAAATTCAAAAGGAAAAGAAATAGAGATTGTGATATATGAACAGCGTTTAAACAACGAAGACGATTCATAAAGAGAGATAAAAGAAAAGAGACCGTCCTCAATAACATGTGATTTATTGTGTAGCCACTTTTATACATGTTCGTGGCCAAAAATCGAAATGGGAATAAGGCTCATTGATTTGTTTTTGTGTTTATTGTTTAGATTATCGAAATATTGAAACTTCTATTCAGATATTTTAACGATGATTCTTTTCATTATAATTTAAGTTACAATGAATTTAATAAAAAAAAACTTATTATAAACACGTTTTTTTTCCTATTATCATTTCATGCATCTATTATTGTGTTCAATCAATATGAGTATTTTTTCCATTATGTATGAAATCATATCATTGTATTTCAGAAAATTCACAAGAAAATCATTCTAAACTAAAGGATGACAATGATTCATTTGAGTTTTCATTCGGTGAGACCTTGAGAAACTTGAATTAATCTAATACTCTATCTTACCAATTATTTACAGAAAAAAAAAGAATACATACGTACGATTACATGATTGTAAGTTGATTTACACATTGTTTCGCTTGCTATATCCTTGACTAAGAGAGACAACATAGCGATGAGCAAAGAAGAGAAAAGAAACCAAATCCCTCAAACAAATATGCAATAATATAGTTATGATCATATTCACATAGTTTATTGTTTACACATGTATATCTACGAGGTCAATTAAACAATACATGCATATACATACATATTTTAATATAAAGAAGAAAAAAAAGGTTATAAGGGCACGAAGACAAATGACATGTTCGAATTTACACGTATATATTATACTCGTCAATGAATTTATGTACGAAATGGATACAAAGTCATCGTGCTGGTTTATTATTTATATAATAGGTAGAATGGGTATTACTTTTTTTTTTAGTTTAAAAGCTATAATTGCCTCTTTTTAGGTGTTTTAAATTTTCTATCTGATTCGACTGAGTCATATATTCCATTGAATATAATAAAACAAAAATATGTATCAACGAAACCGATCAACAATTTTTTTCAGTACGAATCGTCTATTCCAACATCTTTAAAAACTAATACAAATATTAATGTTCAATTGCTTATAACAAAACCAAATTCTTATATATATAATCCCGATGATGATATTCAGTTAGATCGACATAAACGAGATGCAACTCAATTTGTTTGTAAAGGTAAATCTTTTTTTAAATTTTAATTATTTCTATTTATTTTATCGTTTATCTATAGAGGATGGTTATTATCCTGATCCAGCAAATTGTCGAATATATCACATATGTACATCAGGTATTGATACAACCGCTACTTGTGGTGAAGGTACATCATGGGATCCAGCTAAGAAAATTTGTGGATGGGAAAATACAATTGAATGTAAAAAAGGTGTTCGTAAATGGGATCAAATAACAGATATTCGAGGCGGTAAAATAAATATATCATATTCAATTATATTTTATCTTCAGTTTTTTTTGTGAAATTTAGTGACCTTATTTGCTAATGTTGCAGCTTTTGCTGCACGAGTAACAAGGAAATCAACCACAACTCGTCCACCAATTAAAGTTGATTCAAATTTTACCTGTGAATATGATGCTGATGGATATTTTCCTGGTATTTCATTTTATTGATATTTCAATAAACTAAATAATATTAATCAATTTACTTTTAGATACAAAATACTGTCATATTTATCATTATTGTGGTATTGGTGTACATACAATACTACAATGTGCTGATAATCTTTGGTTTTCACCAATATCAGAAGAATGTGAATGGCCAGAAAAATCTAAATGTATATTGAAAGTTTTCTTCCATTGAGCCCAGACAATTTTTGGTTTTGTAATTTATATAGGTAGAGCAGCCGGTCATTTCTTTACATCATCAATGCCAACAAACCTCGTTGATGAAAGTGAAACAACTCATTTTTCTCAACTAAATATTGTTTATCCACCGATTCCGTGCCCAAAGAGTGTTCAAGGACATTTTCCTGATCCATATGATTGTTCAGCATTTCATTATTGCAATGGTATACTGAATAATACACTTTACTTTTACTATTTTATGATTTAATAGGTGGCGTTGATAAACCAGGATTTTGTGAACCAGGTCTTTTCTGGGATAAAAGTAAGTCGAAAAATTCTATATCACTTTTCTGTTTAATTTTTCTTTAGAACTTGGTTGTCAATGGCCAAAAGATGTTCCTAATTGTGAGTGATTGACTTTAATGTTTATATGTAGTTTCCATTATTTTTTATTTCAAAGGTGTACATAAATGTCCACAAAATGGGGAATCATTACGTTTTGTAGCTCCTCATAGTTGTTGTCATTACTATGAATGTGTCAATGGTCACCAAAAAGAAAAAGTTTGTCCATTACATAAACTTTTCTCAGTTGAAACGAAAAAATGTGAACATTTTCAAGTTGTCAACTGTGGTGCAAGAAAAAATTGTATCGATTCTTGTAAGATTTTTCTTCTCAATTTTTCGTTAGATATGTGCAGATTAAGCTTTTCTTTGTACTCTAACTAAGAAGTAATTAATCGGAATTTATTTTTATCATTTTTAGATAATAGAACACTTTATTTTATATTTTCTAGTAACATCGATTTTTCTCTTCTACATGAAAGATAAAAACCTTGATTTTCTTATGGAATACAATAGAAATAAAGAGATGTCAAGTGACAAAGAGACTATATCTGTTCTTTGTTTAAGAAACATTGTAATATTTGTCTCTTTACTAAACAAAAGCTGAAGTACCAAGAAAAACTTTTATGTGCCCATAATATGTCATCCTATTCCGCAATGTTGAACATTGCGAAATCAGTTCCGCCCTCGGAATCCATTGCATCCATTCTGGAATTGCGGCATTTCACTGCAGTCACAGTCCAGAGGCGAAATTCCGAATTTTGAGTCAATAGGCAACTGGTCAGAAGCTCTGAGAATTCTATCTAGTTGCGAAACTTCGGACCAGAATCGGATTATCACTAGATAGATAAGATATAATAGAATAATATTAGAATTTTTAATACCGAAACATTGCGGAATAGGATGGCTGCTCTTCAAAATAAGTCGCTTTTCAGAATTTATCCTACTATTTCGGTAGATCTGACTCTTTCTACAGTCGATCGAATAAGAAGCAAGGTCCAAAACTTTCGAATTCACAAGACTCTAATCACCTGAGAAGTGGGGAGTGTCAGCTAGTCACAGGATAAAAATGACTAGGAAAAAGAATCCCCTATCTTCGAAGTGACTGTTGAATTCCGAGTAGAAAATTTCAGATAAATTATGACAATATCGCTCGATCTAATGCGAAAATTCTGCACATCTCTTTTTTTTTTCGTTCTACAGAACAAGACTTTTTTTATTATTTATTCTATAAATGCAGGTGATTATGATTATTCTCCATTGTGTATGTTTTTACCTGATTGTCGAGATAGACCAAATGGTAATTATGTTGATCAATATCGATCAAATTGTCAATATCATTACACGTGTCTTGATAGTCGAACATTTAATTATACGTCATGCGAAATTGGTTTTCGTTTTTCTGTTCAACATCAAAAATGTTTACCTGCTAAACAAGTTAAATGTTTAGGCAATTATTTTAATAATTCGTTATTATTTCAAATCATTTCTTTCTGCATTTTCTTCTTTAAATCCAGTATTTGAAAAACACAATTATATATTTATTTCATTCATCAAATATGATTGATACAAGAATGCTAGATTAGAAATGCTTTTTTTTAGAAGAAAAATAATTTTTAAGCAAATAGATATTTACATAAATATACATAAATACTGCCTGAGTAGGGGTTTTGTTTTGAAGATAAAGTATCATTTAATGTTGCTGGTCAATGTTGATTAGTTCGATGATGACGACGTAGAAATTTATGAGTTTAGTGTGTTTAGCGAATTAAGAAATAGGCCATAGCTACACTTACGTCCATTCACACTCTTGAGGGTGTGAGTGTGAGTGTTGCTGTGGAACCAAATAGACTGATATAACACCGATATCGAAAAATCCTGATTAATATTGACAATTTAAATTAAATCTTCTAAAGAAATTCAACAACAAAAATACTAAATGTTTTCGGTAAGTAAAACAAAAATTTCTATTGATGTTCTTCCACAAATTTTATTCTAATATTTGACATTAATAACAATGTCTCGATAGTATTTTACGTTTTTTACAATTACGTCTCTAAGAATTATTTGTAATACTAAACAAAAATCCTAATTCTGTGAATTCTATGTGTAGTTAACAGAATACTCTTTATAACATTTAATAAAAAAATTGTTAATTTCATTATTAAAAAGTAAAGTTCATAGTTAGACAACAAGTTGTATCCTAATATCATATTTTGAAACGTATGTGAAATATTCTTAAACTTTAATAAATTGTAGAATTTGTACGAGAACTTTGATTTTGTTCGATCAATCCTAAAGACTTCTTTGTGAAAGACAATCTACAATGAGTAGTAATGTGTACATGTTAGAAATTTGAATCGTTCTCTTTCTCGAGAGATCTTGATCGTAGAAAATTCAAAAGACAAAAATATCGAAATTGAATACGTACTGAAAAAAGTGATATTTCCATATTGTGAGTCAGTATAAATGAAGAGAAGACTAGAACTGAGACTCATCCTTATATGCCAATAATTATCTCTTGTAAGCAATCATATATCAAATAACGTTTGATTATCTATTTTCTTATTGATTTAAAATAGCGTTTACTACTAAACGCAATAATAGCTATTAAAAAATCTTACTTATTACAACTTACCAAAAGATCGAAAAGAAAACTAATTACAGTAAATGATTTAAGTACTATATTATCTCAACTATGGTTATTACCAAAAATTTTTATGCATTCATTTCGAAGAATACAATTACATCAGAAACATTATGTCAATTCTATATTGATTTTCATATAGGAGAAGATATAGATGAACAATTAAATACAGTAAATTTTAAAAAAATCCAAGATCATCTAAATGTAGATAGTTATATAACACGTATTTGTACTTAAAATGATTGCTGAACATTTCAATGGCACGACGCTTATATAATTTCTTAATGAATTTAATAAAATTCCACTTTTTATGTCAATAACTGATGTATTCGATGATTTAATTAAATATCTAACAA